TTAACAGATTCTTCCGAATTCACTGGAGACGCACATTGACCCTCATCGGGGGCTCTTTAACTAAGGCCCTCAGCTGGACAAGTTCTGAAGAACCACGACAAAGTTGTTTTCATTTTCGTGCGGCCCGACGGCGCGGATGTCTGCCGCCGCACAGTAGGCCAGAAGACTGGTGGAGGCGGTCAAAATTTTAGAAGCGTTTTGAGCTCCAGAGTCGCTAATTGGGACTCGAACCGAACAAGTGACCCCACCAGTGGATTCCTCGTTCGGAGAGCAATCCGTTGGTTGGGTCATACGCTCGGTTCGAGTCCTGTTTAGTGACCCTGAAGCTCAAAACTCGTCTAGAATTTTGACCGCCTCCACCGGTCTTCCGGCCCACGGTGCGACGGCGTGGCTGTCTGCCGCGCCGATGCCGACGGCAGAGCGGGGCTGGAGCGGGTTCTAGTTGATGCTGTGGCGTGCTTTATGTACAACAACTCCCGTTTTGTTTTCGTTTTTGAGCGTGCTCCCGCTTCAAAGCGCCTTTTGGGCGCGTTGCGAGGTGGAGCCCTGGAGCCGTGCCGTACGGGCCGCCGCTCCAGTGCCGCTCCAGCGGAATCTACCGCGCCATCTGGGCGTTTCCAGAACTGGACAGGGCGGCCTGGGCCGAGGCCTGGGCCGCCTGCGAGGCCTGGACGAGGCGCGGACAGCAAGGCCCTTGGGGCTGTAGACTCGCTCGCCCTGTCTCTCTCGCACCCCGACGGGGCGGCCCGTGAGTGCGAGAGAGGCAGCGCGACGAACGCCCTGTTCGGCGCGACCAAACAGTGTGGGCCCCGCCCCGTCCGCCCGCCCAGCCGCCGAAAATGGAAGTGAGCCGGTGTTCGAACCGCCGGCCGCGGCGGCAAGGGTCGCTGACACGGCGGACGCCTCGGAGGACGCCGCCATAAGACGAGACGACGGCGAGGACCAGTCGCCGCGCGAGTCGCCGCGTCACGCGAAGGGCTTCGTCGCTCCCTCTCTCTCGCACTCACAAATAAATTATTTTTTTCGCTCTGAACCTTTTATGTTCTTTCAACTTTCATATACCGCAAATATGCGGGCTTTTCCAGGCCTTCGTCCTGCTAGTACCGTACAGCGCGGTACAGCCACTACACCGCACGGTGGGCTGCGGCTGGGACTCGCTCCCACACGCCTTCACAGAGTGCCTCTGCCTGCAGACTGACTCCGAATCAGTCTGCGGACAGGCTCGACTTAAGAGACGGCTCGGGCTAAAGGCCCCCCGAGTTCGAGGCGGCCCCCGCGTGCAAGTCTCTAGGGGAAGTAAAGTAGAGATAATCGACGAATCCACCGCTTGGTCGAGCCGATGGCGAGGCAGGATCTCCGGTTTTAGCCCACGCACCCAGCTCCAGTCTCACATCAGGCTGATTCCGAGGGTCGTTTTCGTCGCTCTGCCTCTCTCGCACCCATACGGCACGTCCCATGAGTGCGAGAGGGGCAGAGCGACGAAAACGACTCTCGGAATCAGTCTGCAGAGTAGCTAATTCATCCATTGGCCACAGGCCATCATTGGCACTGCACGCCCCAAGCCACGCCGCCATGGCAGTGGCGTGGATGACGCGGCGCCGCGCCATGCTAATTCACTGGGCCGCGGCCTGCCGGGCTGCCCTCGCGTCGCTCCGTCTCTCTCGCACTCCCAGCGGCACGCCGCGCACGCCGCGCACGCCCCACGAGTGCGAGAGAGACGGAGCCTGCTGGCCGGCGGGGGTGGCCGCGCGGGGCGGGGGGCACAAGGTCGCACACGTCCCCGTCATTGGCAGTCCGACGACGCGCCGCCCCCCTCCGCCCCCCGCCGCCCCACTCCGCCCCCCGCCAGCCAATCACATCTCGCGCCTCGGAGGCGTCAAAGTCAAAGGCACATAGCCCAAACTACAACCGCACACAGGGGAGGTTGTCAACCCGAGGGAAACGTGTCACGTGTCCAAACCCGGCGCAGGAGTGTACCAGAGTGCATCAGAGTGCGACAGAGACAGAGTGCTCGTCAGGCCGACGCACGCCACTGGTGCAATAAAAAGAGGAAGCTAAGCCTCGCACAGTGGGCCAGACGACCGGGGGAGGCGGCCAAAACTCTAGACGCGTTTTGAGCTCCAGTCGCTAAATGGGACTCGAACCGAACGTGTGACCCCACCAATGGATTGCTCTCCGAACGAGGAGTCCATTGGTGGGGTCACACGCTCGGTTCGAGCCCGGTTTAGCGACTCTGCAGCTCAAAACGCGTCCGGAGTTTTGGCCGCCTCCACCGGTCTTCTGGCACACTGTGCCGCGACGCGCACCGGCCGCCACGCGTTCACACATAGCGCAAGTTTTTACAACCAACAACAACACCAACAACGACAACACTAGGTCCGGTCATCGCGAGCGGCCCCGCGGCCTCGCTTCGGATGAGTTATATTATATGACAAAAGCCGTCCCCCGTCTACCCCGCCCCCAAAAACAACAACAACAACAGGGCCCAACGACAGCGCGCGCAACACGGCGAAAATGGGCCCCGCGACCATAGCGCCACAGTAGACTGATTCCGGGAGTCGTCGCTCTGTCTCTCTCGCACCTATACGGGAAGCCCCACGAGTGCGAGAGAGACAGAGCGACGAAAACGACTCTCGGAATCAGTCTGCGGCGTGCCTAGCGGTGCCAGGCTAATAACCCTCATCTCATCGGAGTCACTGATAAGCGGCGGGCTGTACACTGGTACACTGGTACACTGGTCTACCACACTGTACCGGCCGGCAGGACAAACGCGTTCGCGTTTCGCCTCCAGACGCGGGTGCGCCTAGACGCCGCCGTTCACAGTGCCGCGGCACGTGAGAGGGAGAGAGGGGGGAATGGCGGAAGAGGAACACGCAATCCGACGACAATACGCCGCGCCCCCAAGCGAGCAGCCCGAGCAGCGGACTCATTCCGACTCTCCTCGTCGCGCTGTCTCTCTCGCACCTGTACGGGACGCCGCATGAGTGCGAGAGAGACAGAGAACGACTCTCGGCATCAGTCTGCAGGCCGAACGACGGCAGGCCCCGCGGGGCGCACCACGGGGACCTCAACAATGGGCAAGCAATGCCGGACCGGACCGGCCAGGCCGTCCAGAGATTCAGTCGCTTCGTCGCTCCGTCTCTGTCGCACTGACGGGGCGGTCCGCGGGGGTGCGAGAGAGACGCGTCGCGGGGCGCTAAAGGGGAAGGGACTCGCTGGTCACGCTCCGCTGCGCACGCTGCCGCTGCGCCGGCCTGCTGACGTCACTAAGGCTCCCTGCGGACCAAGGCACCAAGACCGGCCGCAGGGCCGCAGTGCCGTGGCACTCGCAGTGGCGTGGCGTGGCGTGGCGCGCGCAGGGACCGCGTCCAAGGCATCCTCGCGGCCCGCCCGCCCATGGCCCGCCCGCGCCGTCCCGAGTCCTGCAGACCGAGAGTCCTTTTCGTCGCTCTGTCTCTCTCGCACTCGCGGGGCGACCCGTGAAGGTGCGAGAGAGACAGAGCGACGAGAAGACCCTCGGCAGAAAGGCCGGCGAAGTGGCCTGCCCAAGCTGAACTGCCACAAGCCGCCCTGGAAATGGCCTGGCCACGCCAACGCACCGACTGGTCCTGCCTTCGTCGCTGTCTCTCTCGCACTCGTGGGGCGTCGCGGAGGGAGCGACAGAGACAGAGCGACGAAACTCGTCTTCGGGATCGCCGCGCTGCCGCTCCGTTTCTGGGCGCGCTGGCCGCCGTCATGGCCCCATGGCCCGCCCACGCGCCACACGGCTTGTCGCTCTGTCTCTCTCGCACCCTCGCGGCACGCCGGCACGCCCCATGAGTGCGAGAGAGACAGACTAGCAGAGCAGCACGCCAGTGCCGTGGGAGCGACAACCCGGGGCCAGAGTCCTGCAGGTTGGTTCGCGCTGTCTCTCTCGCACTCCTCCGGAACGCCCCAGGAGTGCGAGAGAGACAGAGCACTGTTCGGAAATCGTCTCGCGGGACAACGCGCGGGGCGCGGCGTGCGTGCGGGTTCAAACACCTTCCAGCCGGCTTGTCACTGTCGCACGCAGTCACATCGCAGACTCACGCCGAGAGTCGTTCTCGTCGCTCTGTCTCTCTCGATCTCGTGGGGCGTCCCGGTTAGGTGCGAGAGAGACAACGACTCTCAGTCTGCTGGTGCACCGGTCGGTGCGACTGACCGGAGAGGAGAGCCTTTTGCCTCCAGTGACGCACGTGAGGGGCCGGCGCGCCGACGGCGAGCCGACGGCGAGCCCACCCCACGGAGAAAGGGGCAACGCAGCGTCGCAGCGTCCACAGGCCAAGGCGTCACCACACTGACATTTCCAGGTGTCCCCTGCAGAATGATCCCGAGAGTCTCTCTCGCACTCATGGGGCGGCCCGTGTGGGTGCGAGAGAGACAGAGCGACGAAAACGACTCTCGGCATCAGTCTCCTGGTACCAGCGCACCTCTGGCATACAACCAGCCGCACCCGGCATACTGTACCATTCTGGTACCCCATTTCTGGTACCGGCTCATCCTTGGAGCCTTACTGCATGATAACCCAGTAGACGGACACTTTCCCAGCAATGGTTTGGAGGGCTCTACACGGGGAACGCCTGCTGCGTAGGCAACCGCTCCCCAAGATGCACCGGTGCTGTGCGGTCTGCCTACCTCAGCCTGTGTGCAGGGCTCTGCGTACTTAAGGCCTGGCCGTTGTAGGGCTTCATGCGCACTATAGGCAGCTAGGCAGACCGTGCTAGACCAGACCGGTGCATCGCGGGCAGTTGTTGCCTACCAGCCTGGCATCAGCCACAGGCTACACAACCACAATCACTTTGGAACGTGGTTGGGTACCAATGATCAGTGCTAGGCAGTCTGGAGAAGTGTGACCACCATCAAGACCACCGCAACCATCAAAGCCAATGCCCTCTTCAAGTGCACAATAACTCAGGTCCGACAACATTCCCTCCCCTCATGGGATATGCAACCAGATTTTGTCAGATGATAGCAGTACTCACCAGCATATGATGATTTTGATGATTCCACAAGCTTGAACGTGAAGGGTATGTGCACTTTCATCATCTTCACTTGAGGTATTCTTGGGGCCACCGGATGGACAGTGCTTCCAAACATCATGTCTTCGCCGTGAACACGGAACACCATCATATTCCTGATAAAACATTTCAAGCTATGTCGGCATCCACAGGCAAAGTTGTCCAAGATACAAAGTAAAGTTAAAAATGTGCCAATAGCTAAATAAAATCAGTTAAATCTGCTTTTGTAAGGGATGTGCTGGGACTTGCAACTACTCTATTTTTATGACAGTACTTCATGAGAATATTCTAATTATTTTAGCAGATCAACTGTGATTGGTCTCAGACTAAAGTATAAAGAACGGGCTTTTCCTGGGCACGAAAGGGCCTGAACATCAATTCAGACACCTCAGATGAACGGTAAAGTGGGGCAGCTTTGGCATGAGCCCAGCCATCATAAGGGTGTCCTGTCCCTGATGGGAGCAGGGACTCTAAATTTGCACAGTGGGGTAGGTTAGGGAAAATTTGGGCACTGACAGATGGAGCCTCACTTGCACTGACAGAGATTCGGACGCAGCTCACCTCATTATGAACAAAACCATCCCGCACAGACATACGAGCACGACAAACACTGAGAAAATGTTGGACAGTTCGGCGACCGACACCAACATCGCTGTCATCGCGACCATCATTGTCCTTTCGTGTTTGGATTGGAACAACAACACGTCAAAAATATTGAAAACACATCAAGAAGTCCTCCCGGTTCGCAGAAACGGCGACGCGTTGCCTGACGTTCGAAGGCGAGCCTGACGTTACACTCCGTTACACAGCCATGGCGTTTTCAAAGCCATCGCGGAGCAGACTGGCGAATGTGAAAGTGTTAGCGACAAAATAAAGCAGAAGGTTTAGTGGGGAGAGACGCCATCTTTGATACAGAGACCGCAAGCGCCACCTGGTGGGGAAGACTGGAACTAATTTCAACGGCATCCAACATGTGGATCAAAATTTCCATTGTAAAACACAATTTCACTCAACATAACTCATGTACCATACGTAATATTTATTTCCATCATTTTAAAAGTATTTTACTATCAAATTAGCGGATAAAAAGATCACTTTAAAAATAAAACTTCGATGACGTCGTAGTAATAAAAGTTGGTGCTACTGTTCGTAGTTTGTCTTCTGCTACCAGACAGTATTTTGTTGATGTTGTCGTTGGTAACCAATTGATGAAATTTTGTTTATTAGCAACATTTTTGACGTGCTTTGCACTGATAGCTCCTCTCGGACCCGTCATGGCATCACCCAAACTTTTAAGTCTTGAATTTGAGGTTTTCGGCAGAGTGCAAGGTTTGTTATTCGAGATCAAGCTGTTTCTTTTCAATGGGATAGGTTATGGAAATTTCTAGTGCACTAAATACACTTCACTAATTTCTTATTTAATTTTGTTGTTTCAGGCGTTTTCTTTAGAAAAGTGAGTATAAGCAAAGTAGCTTCTATCAGCCTGGCACTAGTTTCATGAATAATCAATTTGAAAAATATTTGTATTTATTCATTGTAATCGGTGAAGTAATCATTGCAATGCCTCAATTCTTGTGTTGCAGTACACGCAAAAGCAAGGCAAAGAACTTGGTCTTCGAGGGTGGTGTATGAACACGCCACAAGGTAGCGTCCTCGGTCAGCTTGAAGGAGAAGCGTCCCAAGTGGAAAAGATGTAAGTTAGCAGCGAAATTTTAGTTCTGTAATTCATTATAAATATTCTTTTAAACAATGGGGCCTTTTATTAACAGGAAAGTATGGTTGCAACGTACTGGAAGCCCAGAATCAAAGATTGACAAAGCGGAGTTTAGAAATGTTAAGGAAATTGATTCATACACATTTACCTCATTTGATATACGGGGCTAATGTGTGTAGTCAACCTGTACTATGATTCAAATGTGATATAGATTTAAATTTAATCAGAAAGTTTGTTGTACTTTTTTTCACCCCTTACTCCAAAAAGAAATACCAAAAAAATATGAACCATTACATAGTGTGGGCAGATAATCTAAAATTATTGCAGAAGTGGCAATCACTAGTACCAATATGCTAGTATTGTTGACCAATTTTGACTCAAGGTACCTTACTGCATGAACCTTGTCTTTCTTTCAGGAAAAATTGGCTCAGGAAAACTGGAAGTCCTAAATCAAGAATTGACAAAGTGGATTTCAGAGGAGAGAAAACAGTACCAGAGTACTCATTTGTTGACTTTTCTGTCCGCCGTTGAAGATAAGGCACGCATAATTGAACCTTTTTAAATCATTAACTTATGAGTTGCTGAAATGCCCACTTAAATAAGACTGAGATAATGACTGAAAAGAGTGACACTGACTTTCTACATTTAAAATTCCAAAACTGGAATGGCTTGCCATCCATTGTGATAGTGATACAAATTTGCTGTCCTGTCAAGTTTTATGCAAACAATCAATAAAATAAGCAAAACAGTCAATGTGAAAAACGTTACTCTGGCTTCCGCCAACACATAAAAGATAAATCCCTTTATTGCCACGCGTGCTTCGCAATTAAATATACCAAGATCACCCGGAGGGTAGGCAACCCAACGTGCTCGGCGCCCGCCGGCAGGCAACCCAACGTACACGCTATGGGTGCGCGCTCGTGGTTTACTGGTTCACTCTTGACGCACTCCGCACACGAACGGCCCCGGTCCGATTCCGGAGGGTCGTCTCGTCGCTCTGTCTCTCTCGCACCCCTGGGGAACGGGAGGCTGCATGAGTGCGACAGAGACAGAGCGACGGGACGACTCTTCGGAGTCGGTCTGCTTCCGCGGCGCACAGGTGTGCCGGTTAGGGCGTCCCTGCACGCCGTTTCCGAACGGCCGTCGCTGTCTCTCTCGCACTCACGGGGCGTCCCGTAGGGGTGCGAGAGAGACAGCGCAGGGCGACGGCACGCGGCCTAGGCTAGGCCCAAGTGGCAGCCACGCGCGGCGCGGCTCGGCGCGGTCGAATGTCGAATCGGATCGAATGGAACTGGTCGGATACTAATTACACGCAGACACATGTACACATGTGGCTGCGGCAGATGCACGTCCACGGCCCCACGGCGGAGGCGTGGCGCGGCGGCCGCCGATACTCCGCACTCCCCGCACTCGAGTGCTCGTCGCTGGTGGAGGCAGCCGCGACCGCCGCGACGGACATGGACAAGACCCCCAGCAGCGCGGACGAGGAGGCGGCGCTCACCGATCAGGTCAGTGAGCAGACTGATTCCGAGAGTCCTTTTCGTCGCCCTGTCTCTCGCGCACTCGCGGGGCGTCCCGTTTGGGTGCGAGAGAGACAGAGCGACGAAAACGACTCTTGGAGACAGTTTGCTGTCAGATCGAGTGCGGACAGCGGCGGGCTAATTCAGCAAATCTGTCAGCGATAGCTGGCCGCAGCCCGACTGAAGCCGTCCCTCGCGTAGCAGTGTGGCAGTACAGGACAGCAAAGAGGCGGCCAGCCGTCGCTGACTGATTCGCTAGATCATCCCGCGGGCTGCTTGGGGGTGTCTATCCTGCGTGGTGTGACGACACGACAGGAGAGAGGACATGATTTCGAACGAACAGTGCTTCCGCTCCTCAATCTCTCCTCACACTAAAGGGGCGTCCCGTGGGGACGCGAGAGAGATGCAGAGCGACGAAGCACAGTTTTCTCTCTCTCTCGCACTCATGGGGCGTCGCTTAGGGCCTGTAGGGGTGCGAGAGAGACAGCGACGAAACGATCCTTCGGCTTGCTGGACGGCCGGTGGACGGTGTCCGCACGCCTGCGACTCCTTGGCTTAGGCAGCTCACATCACTTCCGCGGCTGGTGGGATGCCTGCCTGCGGGCTGATTGCGAGCACTGCTTGTCTCTCTCCCACCCTTGCGGCACGCCCCGTGAGTGCGAGAGAGACAGAGCGACGAAAAGGACTCTCGGAATCAGTCTGCTGCACCGCGGGCCCGCGGTGCGCGAAGGGGGCAAGAGGGAAGGCCGGGGAGGGGGGACACGCTGGACACCACAAAGGATTTGCGGGGGAGGGGTACAGGTGCAGCGTAAAACACCGGCTGAAGGTCGCGAGCTCGGTCGCGAGCGGCAAGGCCGCGGTGCCGCGGTGTGGCGGCAAAGGCTGCGGCGAGCTGGCCAAAGCGCTGCGCTCCTCGCGGAGTCCTGGTGGAGTCCTGGCGGAGTCCGCGGAGCAGTAGAGGGGATCGGATTGAGGAGCAGGGAGCAGACAACGGGGCACACTGTGGGCCAGCAGTGCTCCAGCGGCGGCCCAACTGGCAGGCCCACCGCGACGTCGCGGCGAGCGTGTCCACGACACTGCCGCGTAGAGATCGAAATCCAACTTGGAACGCGCCGTGCGAACCGACAGCCGATTCCGGCATGACGCGTCGACAACGACAACGACGAGAAACTCGGTGATTCCTCCTCGCGTCCTGCCGCCATGGTGAGGACAGCGCTCCGTCTCTCTCGCACCCTCACGGGCCGCCCCGTGAGTGCGACGGAGACAGAGCGACCAAACGCCCTCCTCCTTTTTCCACGTTTCGCTTTCATTGGCAAGGAGACGACGCGCGTGGAGGAGATGGCGATGCCGGAGGAGACAGGCCGAAAGGTCAATAGACCAGTCCAGTCCAGCTGCTGGAGGCTGGAGCGGCCTTCCAGCACACTGATTGATACCGACACTCCTTTTCGTCGCTCCGTCTCTCTCGCACCTGTACGGGACACCCCAGGAGTGTGACAGAGACAGAGCGACGAGAACGACTCTCGGAATCAGTCCGCTGCTCGTCGCGTCGCCACGGTAACCCGGACCCGCAAACGGATCTTCAGCTCCAAATGTATACAATCAAGTTGTAGAGGTCGACCACGGCAGTGTAGTGCCTGGCCGGCCTGGCCGGCGAGGTTCGCGTGCCGCCAGTGTGCCGCGCGTCCTGACTGTCATTGTCGGTGACTTTGGTTGGTCCTTCCCCGTCCCCGTCCAGTGGCGGCCGGCCAATCCGAGCATGCGCGCCGCTTGGGCTGGCGTAGCGTCGCGTAGTTGACTTCCCGTATTTCGGCCGTTTGTTGTACGTAGTGTGACTGCAGAGGTCGCGCGGCTAGAGAGGGTCCCTAGCGCGTACCGTTCCGTAAACACGCGACTCGCACTCGACGCGGCGCCGCCTGCGGCCCGATTCCGAAGAGTGGTTTTCGCCGCTCTGTCTCTGTCGCACTCACGGCGCGTTCCGGCCGAGTGCGAGAGAGACAGAGCGACGAAAACGACTGTTCGGCATCGCCCCCGGCTGGCGCGGTGCCATCCCACCAACCTGTCCTACACCGCGGGCAGCATTCGCCGCTTCGACTTCACAAGGGCCTGTCTCTAATAGGAATGGGGAGGGGGAGGGAGAAGGGGAGGGAGTGACTCGACCACGCCGCCGTGCACGCCGGCGGCCGGCGCGTTGAGCGCGTTGAGCGGCCCGGTGGCGGGGCGGGGCGGGGACGGCACCGCGCACCGCACCGCGCCACACGCGCCCCATCAGTTAGTAGAGGCCGAGTCCGAGCATCGGCTGCCCGCGGCCCGCCACGCCCCGCCAAGCCCGCCGAACCGCCGCCGCCATGTGGCGGTGACCACCGCGACGACGGCGACCGCGGTGACAGCACGCCCCGGCCGATAGCAGCGATGCCCGCCGTGCCCGCCGTCGCGGTCCTGTAGCGCAGCCTGTAGTGCAGCCGGCACCACAGCCTGCAGTGCAGCGTCCCGCCCAGAGGCCATGGCCACCTCCAGGTCCACGTCGTGGGAGGGCCGCGGCTGGGACGGCCTCCCGATGCCCGCCAACGGCAACGTGCTCAATAACACCGTGAGTGTTCCGCCCCCGAACCGGCCCCGTCATGCCGTGCGACATCCATAGCCCACAGTGGGCCAGAAGACCGGCGCCGGCGGCCAAAACGCCAGAGTCGCTGAGCAGGACTCGAACCGAACGTGTGACCCCACCAATGGATTCCTCGTTCGGAGAGCAATCCATTGGTGGGGTCACGCGTTCGGTTCGATTCCCACTCAGCAACTCTGCAGCTCAACACGCGTCCGGCATTTCGACCGCCTCCACCGGCCTTCTGGCCCACTCCCACTGTGCTTGTACCAGCCGGCCGCGCCGGCCGTTCGAAATCTCGCGCCGCCTCCCTCCGCGTCGTCAACGTCCACCGCGTCACCGAAGTGGCGGCGCAGCGTGCAGCACGGATGTCTCGGGTCAGCGGGCGCGTTCGGCACTCCGCGTTCTGCGCCGGCTTTCGCGATAAGTGTTATCGGCCACGGTTTGTGGGCATCACGGACCGGCTCTTTATTGTGGCGCGTCCGAGGCGACGACCGTCGTCTTCGACCCAGAGTCGTTTCCGTGGCTCTGTCTCTCTCGCACCGACACGGGACGCTCCACGAGTGCGAGAGAGACAGAGCGACGACTCTCGGAATCAGTCTGCTGCCGGGAAGCTGCCGGTGCAGCGCGCTCCGTGACGCTGAGAGCCCTGCAATCCTCGAAGCGGCATCGCGAATGAGCTGTTTTCTGTTTGCATCACTGTTGGGGTTGTCCCTGTCGCGCGTGTTTGCGTCGCGGAGTTCCGCGAAGCTGCACTCCTCAATCCTACGACCTGACGGCTGCCGCGCTGCCGCCTCCGAGACAGCCGATTGTTGTCCGAGCCTCTGTGATGCTGATGCACTGATAAGCGCGGCTGCGTCCGAACCGAGTCCGAACGACCCACTGGGTCATCGGACGCGAGGGGCGCGGGAGCGGCATCCATGACGGCGTCCATGACGGGGCCGAGGTGCGTGCTGCCGAGCGATTCGCGCCGTCTCTCTCGCACTCATGGCGCGTCCCGCAGAGGCGCGAGAGAGACAGAGCGACGAACCGCGGTTCGGAAAATGGGTCTCGGCGGCGTGCCTCTAGACGGAGTCATGAGTGATCAGTGGCAGGCCGACGGCGCTGACGGCGAGGGAGCGGCGACCGCGCTGGCGCCCAGTCCCGGACCCGAGTCCCGTTCGCGGAAGTAAGCCGGTCGCGTCTCGCGTCCAGCAGACTGATTCCGAGAGTCGTTTTCGTCGCTCTGTCTCTCTCGCACTCATCGGGCGTCCCTTATAGGTGCAAGAGAGACAGAGCGACGAAAACGACTCTCGGAATCAGTCTGCAGTGTCGTCGCCGAGGTCGCTTAGCGCGCGGGCATCGCACGGGGACGCCTCGGACCGGAGTCGCTTTCACGCGCCAACACCGTCGCGTTACCGCCACGCCTTCTTGCACCGTGGCGCCAACCCGGCAGGCTCATTCCGTCGCCCTGTCTCTCTCGCACTCACGGGGCGTCCCGCAAGGGTGCGAGAGAGACAGAGCGACGAGCAGCGCTCGGAATCAGCCTGCGTCGCCCGCCCGCTAATTATGATTACTGAATGCGGTGGAGCGCCGGCGGCGTGGGCGCCACACTCGGTGCGAGCGCCGCAGACTGATTCCGAGAGCCGTTTTCGTCGCTCTGTCTCTCTCGCACCCTTACGAGGCGCCCCATGAGTGCGAGAGAGACAGAGCGATGAATACGACTTGTCTGCCAGAGCCTGCGATCGGGTGGGTAAGGCGGCCGCTGGCTACCCGGCCGGCCGCGCCTGAGTTGACTTGCCTACCCGGCCGCCGGCAGCGCAGACCCAGACCCAGACCCACCCGCTGTTGAGGTGGCCGGGTAACGCGCTACCCGCCACGGGTGCCTAGACCCAGCGTGCCGACGACGGCTCGACCCGAGCCAACGCGGCCGGCTGCCGTCGCCGGCGAGGCCGGTGGCAGTCAGCGAGCCGCCAGTCGACACAGCTGTCTCTCTCTCACTCGTTGGCTGCTTATGGGAGTGAGAGAGCAAGATGCCACTCGCCTGACGCCTGCCAGTCGCTTGGCGCGGCTGCGGCTAGGTTTGTCTCGCCGTCGGCGCTGTGGCTCGTCGAGCGGGCGCTGGTCGCCGCCGCTGGCCGCTACGAGTCTGTGTCAGTCTAGGTCCGGCCGGCCAGCGCCGACTGAACCTGTGCTGGCACCGGGTAAGAGCGCTCACCCGGCCGAGGACGGTGGGTGAGAACCCGGCAGCTTACCCACCCGATCGCAGGCTCTGTTGTCTGCTGGCGGATCGGGAGGGGTGGTGCAAGCCCGGCAGCATGCCGGCAGCGCTGCAACAGGCAAGGCAGCCGCGCGTTTCGACGTCGAGGCACAGTAGCCTGGTTTGGCACTGCGCTTTCGTCGCTCTGTCTCTCTCGCACTCATGGGGCGTGCACTGTAGGTGTGTGCGTGAGAGTGCGAAAGAGCGAGAAAACGCTGTGCGGAGTAGACGGGACGCACAGTGGGCCAGAAGACCGGTGGAGGCGACCAAAACTCTAGACGTGTTTTGAGCTCCAGAGTCGCTAAATGGGACTCGAACCGAGCGTGTGACCCCACCAATGGATTCCTCGTTCGGAGAGCAATCCATTGGTGGGGTCACACGTTCGGTTCGAGGCCTATTTGGCGACTCTGGAGCTCAAAACGCGTTGGTAGTTTTGGCCGCCTCCACTGGACTTCTGGCCCACTGTGGGACGCCTGGGTTTCTGCGATAGGCAACCCGCCGCGCCGCCGCTCGCTGCGGGTCTGCCTGCTGCCCGGGCGCTTCGGCGCCTCGGCGCTCCAGGCGGAGCCGCGCCTCCAGCCGATTCGACGCTCTGTCTCTCTCGCACTAATGGGGCACTCCATAAGGGTGCGAGAGAGACAGAGCGAAGAACCGCTCTTCTGAACCGCTCGACTGCAACCTGCTCACGGGAGTGGTCCTGGTTCTGCCGGAGCGGGCCTGGATGCCAGCAAGCTGAGTCCGAAACGGAGGTTCGTCGCTCTGTCTCTCTCGCACGCACGGCGCGCGCCGTTCGGGCGCGAGGGAGACAGAGGAGCGGTTCGGAGTGAGCCAGGCAGGCCGCTTGGCGTGGGGCCGTGGGGCAACGGGTTGCGCAACCTTTACGTTAGCTCGATGGAGCACGGCGGGCAAGGTGCCTCGCACAGTGTGCCGGCAGGGCAGGCAGTACAGCCCGGTCCAGGAGCCGCGCTGGGAGGCTGGGACTCTGGGACGCGATCCCGATGGACCCGCGTGGCCCGCTGAGCTTGTGTTGCGCCAGGCCTGGCCTCTAGGCCTGGACACCCCAGCTGGAGGGGTTACGATTGCACGCTCGGTGGGTGCCCCTTGGATCGCCTGGATCAAAACGCGCGCGAAAACGTCACTTTGGGACTTGCCAAGCAGTGAAAGTGGGTCGTGTGGACACGGCCAATGTACCCGAACGCTCGCACGTGCGGTGCGTCGTCGGTGGGGCGCACAGTGGGCCAGAAGGCCGGTGGAGGCGGCCAAAACTCTAGACGCGTTTTGAGCTCCAGAGTCGCTAAATGGAACTCGAACCGAACGTGTGACCCCACCAATGGCTTCCTCGTTCGGAGAGCAATCCATTGCGTGAGTGCGAGAGAGGCAGAGAGACGGTAGATAGCCCCACTAACCCTTGGACACCTGTTGCAGATGGACAACGCAGCCTTTGAGCGCGACGCCAACGGGGCAAGCCAAGCGAGCCAGTTCGGCGCGGCCACCACCGTGGAGATGGGCGAGTTCGGCGCCGTGCCGCTGCCGGCGGTCCCCGGCAGCCGGACGTCGCCGTCGTACGCGGCGCGCGCGGCCTCGGGGGCGCCGCTGTGCAAGCCGGACCTGTGCCGCGCCATGGGCGCCATGGCGCCGGGCCTGGCCAAGTCCCCCGGCCTGCGGCCCAACCCCTGGCACCGCAACAAGACCATCCTCCTGGTGGCCACCATCGCGGGGCTCGTCATCTGGGCCGTGGCCTACTTCGCGCTGCAGAAGACCGGCATCTTATAGCGCCCCGACTCCCGCACTGCGCGCGGCACTCCACTGTTATGTGTGTTTCAGTGCGTCCATATACTCTAACCACCGCCCCCGGACTGTGTCCTTGTTGTGAGAGTTTCTGTCACGACGGAAGAACAGATTCTGTGATTTTTGTAAGAGGCTTGTGACAATACTATTTCTTCCTTTTTATGTACACAATCGGGTTTTCCTCTGAATAATGGCCCTCAACTTGTTAAGTGCCATTAAGAGCTTGTCGCTCAAATGTGTCTGTGTATTATTTAGTGTATTGAGTGCGCAGAAAGTCCTTCTATTTCCTTCTCTTTTTTTGCCACCACTGCACGCTGCGTGCACACTGCGTGTCCTTCGAGGAACGTGATGGGTGTCAATTTGACTTTGACCGTTGTCGACCATGCATCGTCTGCGCGATCGTCTGCCTGGACGCTTTCCAAGTTCCAAAATGTGATATGTGATGACTGATTGAATAAACTTATGATACAACCGTGACTATTTTCTCAATTTTATTTCCTACGAATCACTACTTAGATTTGTCTCTTCACGACTTCCTCCAAAGACCGTTCACCGAAGTCGTTTGAAAATGGCGCCCTCCCGTCCAAAGCCATATGGATCTCTTCCCGTTTCTTGTGGGTCGAGGGGGCCGTGACAGACAAGTCACAACACGCGAGGGAAACTGTTCAAAATGGAGTGTTAGGAACACGTTCAAAGTTGTGTAGATTTTCAGTGTTATTGAATGAAAGGTTTCTGCTTCGGTCGCTCCCAGTTGCGTACTTACTTCAGCCGCGTAAGGATTGTGAAGGTTGTGTGAGGCGTCTCGAGAGTTATTTTGAAAGTGACGCATAAAGGCAGTGGGGCCGTTGGAAGTTCGTTACTTTCGAATCAGTTCATTGTTCCTTCAAAATGTAAGTACTGTACTGCCTTGATTTTGTTACGCACTGAACAAATATGGCATGATTTTGAATGTGGTTCCCCATGTTTCGCCGTAACCAAATGGCGAATCTTCATCTGAGAGGCCTGTTTCTGAATTCATTGAGAGAGCAGCTTCTCTGTTACAGCAATGTTGTTTTCTGTGTCAAGTTCTCCAATCAGATTTATTAATTAGTGTCGATTTTAATTCTCTAGATTGTTGACACACAACCAAACACTATGGAAAGATTTACATCAGTGCCTGGGTCGCCTATGACTGACACACCAATATGTGACAGTGACGAAGAAGTGTTTTTTGGACCTGTGACTACTAAGGAACTTAACAAAGCCTCCCAATTAAAACGGCGAACGCAGTTTTATTTCCCAACATTTAACTGGAAACCAAGGTAAAATTTATCCTTTTTTTTGATGAGCGAAGACTTTCTGCTGTTCTCTAGCATTGTTTTATTTTTCTGTATCGTAGCACTCCCCTTAACAATGCAGCCAATTCAATTGATGATAAAGGTATTCTTTTCTTATTTAGATGAATACTGTTACTAGTTTTTTGCTCTGTATTAATCTCATTTATGCAATTACAGAGAGTGGTACTAAAACTACATCATCAGATACAACAGATCGGGCCAATTTGTCACTTTCTGCTGATTCTTTGGAGACTGAAAGTTTTGTCACAATTTCTGACAGGCCAGAAGATAGTTCGAAAGGAGAATTTTGCTCAGCACTTTCTGGAAATACGTCAAACTCTCAACCTTCTCTGAATGAAGCCAACTTTTATTCGAAGTTTTCTGAGGACAGTTTAGAGTCTGACAAGCCTGTTGGCCTTGACAATACTGCACCAGAAAGCATACCTAGGATGAACTCTCACACCCCTCGGAAAGCATCCTCCTTTTTTTCCAACATGTCTGAAGACAGTCTTGAAAATACGGAGCATGCAATGAATGTTGCTCGACTTCATTCTGGACTCTCAGGAAATACCTGGAATAATTCTGAAGATCTATCACAAGAAGCACAAACATCTAATGAAAATATAGAGAGTAAGAATGTCTCTAATTTGAATGAGACTCAATCGGGGTCAGAGAGTGGCTTTAATAATGACTCGCTGCTGAGTACACCCAAGGTTGGTGCCAATGGCCAACTGCTGAAACCAGGTTGCATTGAGTCTAAGTCAAATAAAGCGCTTACTTCCACATACGAAGTTTTGCCAGAGATTGAGGATAATGAGACTTACACAATTGATGATGACTCGTGCGAAGTTATCGAGCCAGCTGCTTCTACCAATATTAATTTATCGGATGAAGTGCCTGTGGACAAAGATGGAGGCTTCCTCTCAATTTTGTCTGAAGCTGCCTTGTATCATGCTTCACAGCTTAAAGAAAATGAAAATGTGCCCTTTCATGGTGCGGAAGATTCTACCTCTACAACACAGTCCCTTGAAGATCGCTTTAAAATGTTTGGCATTGGTGCTAACGATCTTGAGGATCAGCAGCTTTCAAATTCTATCATGTATACGACTGGAAGGGAGAGCAATGTCCTCTCTTCTGAAACTGAATCTAATACTTACTACACTGGCTTAAATAGTGGTCCTGGTAGCTCCTTCAGTTCTGAGGAGCATTATAATAAACAATCTGTGGAAAATCTAGGGAACTGTGGTGCTTCATACTCTCAGTATGAGGAAGAGTCCACAGAATGTAGAGAAAGCAGTGTGGTAAATGTGACGAGTGGGAGTGAAAGTACATCAAGCAAGATGCAATATTCAAATGTACTCAACCAGCCCATTTCTAACGGTACTTTAGGGAGTGCTGGTAGTACTTTTGAAAGTTCCAATCATGAGAACTCCTCATCCAATGAAGTTCATCCTTGTAGTGAGAATGAGGGTGAGGCAATGGAACATACAGATAGTTATGATAATGAAAGCTCTGAGATATCTGGTGTGTGCAGGTTGAATTCAGTTTCTGAAAACCAGAGTAACTCTTCAATTCAGTCTTGTCATGATGAGGATGTGTTGACTAATGACTCTGACGTCTCATCTTATGCGGGAGAGTTGAATGACACTCTTGAGGAGTATGAAATGATGATGCGTTACGGTGTGGAATATATCCTTGGCCGTAGAGGCAACAAGAAAGGTAAAAATGCTGAAAAGGATGAGGAAAATCCCACAGTGTCTCCATCTCCTCTTGAACAGAATGTGTCTCCTTTGCATAAGGCTCCCTTGATGCCAAAGACTGTGAGTTCACCCCATACTCATCAACAGAACTCAAGTGCGAGTTCATCTGAGTACCATGACGCAGTGGATGTGTCTCCAAGGCTGAAACAGACAAGTTCTTGCAGAACAAATGACCATAAGGGTATCTCTCCTTTGCACAAGCAGCTTTTCAAACATACACCCCAGAAAAATGTCAAGAACATGCAGGGTGTCTCTACCAAGGGAAGCTCTAACAAGCTCCCATCAAAGCTCCCTCGTGTAGCCTCTATGACCCCTACAAAACTGGTTCCCATGACATCTCCTCAGACCCCCAAGCAATTTGTTCGTCCTATGACATCGTCTTCAGAAAGTAAGATCACTTCCAAATATCAGAGGCCAGTAACACCTAGTTCAGAACCTAAGATTGGTTTCTTCAAAAAGCCAGTGGCCCCAGTTGCAGGTGGAAGTCGCATACCCAAAAACTTTACCTCAAAACCTAATAACAAGGTGTGAATGTGGATCAGAAAATCGCGTTTTTGACAGGTGATGGTGTTAGTGGTCTTAATGTCTTCTCCGCATTTCAGGTATTGGAGAATATTCAGAGTCCTGTCGGTGCTTACATTCACAACAGCCCCTCACCGGTACTTGTTACAAACATTAAAGGCAAGTGCTCAGACCGATCTGGGTTTGAAAAAGAAATGCATGCCCGTGCATTATGGCGGGCTGGTGAGGTGAAATCATCAATTCCAAAACCAACAAGTTCTCAGGTATGTTCACTGTGCATAAAAAAACTCTTAGAACTTACAAAATAAAATGCATCCTGTCTTTTTTCTGCTGTGTACTATTTGTAGGTATCAAACATGGAAAACATAAATCCCAACATTGGCTGTGGTCTTCCACCAGTCAAATATACGAAGGCACCATGCGTCAAATTGGTTCGTGTTTCTTTGTCCTTGTAATTTAACATTTTAGGCTACAATCGCGGGACTCGAAAAATTTGTCTTGAACTGAACATATTTACAGGATGAGGCAACAAAGCTCCCAGTTCCCAAGGGTGGAGAAAAAATTAGTAAACTTATGGATGCCCCTGCTCCACAAGTTATTAAACATGAGGGTGAGCTCTCTGTATTCATGCTGTTTTCTGCTCCATTTCATTCTATAAACAATCACAAAATATCTAATGAAACCAATGGTTATTAACAGGTCGTGTTCGCGTGAACTGTGGAAGTCCCCAGCTGGCAGCCAGAATGCATTCTATGGCAGATACATTTGATGATAGTTTGATTGATGTGCATTCAGTGTCTGGTGACATATCTGTCTGTGTGAGCCAAGATGCTTGCCGTACAAATACTTTAGGGCATCATTAATTAATTTTTGCCATCAATTCCATATGTACATAAAAAATATATTCTTGACATGTGTCACAGATTTCACTAACAATCAACCATTGCTAGATTGCCTTGATTTATGTAAAAAGCTAGAGATACATATTCCTGCCAGCATAATGGTTAAATCAGGACTACATATCTTGTAGGCCTCCTTTAGTCTAATATCTTTAATCCCACTTCATGGTATTTCAGGTCTATCTGTCAACTACTAGTGTAGTGTATTTCATTATATTGGCAGTTTTCTGTCAGCCTTCTGTTGTCTATGCAAGTGAGTTCCTTTGCTTATAATCAATATGATGTGTGTACAAAGTTTTAATAATTTGAATGTAACTTGCAAAGCTTGTGAATGTTTATTTTACACAGTACCTTGTGACCAACAATACATATATTTCAAGTTTCATAGAACAGAATCATGTACTCCATGCCAAGGAGGCCAAGGAGTAAATGTACTGGTAGAATGTATAAAATCAAATTGAGACATGACTTTCATAAACTTCTCTCACGAACATGTCAATGCATTTATCTAATAAAATATATAGTGAACACTAGATGCAAAGCCTCATTATCAATTTTCTCTGGACGTTACAATTCTTAAATAGAAATGGGGGAGGGTCAGCTTGAGTAAGAGCTAATGCATCTAGCTGAAATACAGTCACAGAAAATTTTCAATATCAATACGTGCAGCATGACACCAGTCTTTTGGCTTCTTATTAAATGAGAAAACAACTTACACAGCCAATCAAACAAAGTTTCCATCCCCTTTTTGTAGCTTTGAGGCAACCTTTATAGATACGTCCTAAACTACAATAAAGTTTAAGATACCAAACATAAAGGATTAGAGTCACAAATGTGAATCAAGTAGTCGAGCAAATACATGAACCTAATATAAGTACTCAAACTTTTAACATTGGCTTTGCTTTTGAAAATAACGACCAAACATGGATAGAATAAATTTTAATCAAAGAATTAACAATGGAGCATTGGATCACTAACAGTAAAGTGGTCTAATAAAGAAACTACTAAACATCAACAGTCTCTAAAGTGATTCAAAAACAAACTATAAACAATAAATCTAACAATCAGTGGGTAAATCTCTGAAGAGAAAGACAACTGAGAATTAAAAGCAAACTTTAAATGTCTTATACATGAGGCTTTTTTAAATGATAAAATTACTAGGCCAGAATTAGTGTCAAGGTAGCAAATAAAATCATATTCCTTTTCAATCAAGTCCAACATCCCACCATGAAAATACACCTCAAGACCACAGCAAAGCAAAAGCTGATAGTCCTTTGGCATTCAAACCACTAACAGTGCAAAATATAAAGCTCCAAAACCCAGCTTCATATGTAAATTACCATGAATATACCAAAAAAAAAAAAGAATGTGATTCTCAAAAATTGATTACAAGTTTTAAAAACTTACAGAAAAAGAAAAAAAACCTTCTTTCAAACATTTTCAATGCACAAGATTCACACTCATTGTGAGCAGCTTATCATGAACACATTATTGTCAACTTTCCATACAGTAATAAAACTTAAATGAAAAAATGGTAAAATGAAATACCGTTGAGAAATACAACACAAGCACAAGTACATCAAACAGAAGCAGCTTCATGTGAAGCACAAAAACTAATTGTATGTATGTGGACGTATACCCGCACTTCATAAACAAGTAAGAAAAAGTCCCAGTCACTATTTAATAAAGCAATTCAATTGACATTGTCTAGTTAAAGCTTACGTAAACCATGGGCACTGGACATGAGAAATGATTGGAAAATATTCTCAATACAGATGTGGGCAAATAACATTTAACACAGAAAGAGAGGCAAGTTGTGCACATAGTATCTGGTTGAGATAAAAACACAGCCATCTAAACCTGGTAAGTACCACACTTCAGACTTACCTGTAATTTGACGAATAAACAATTTTTATCTATTACTGTGCTGGTAGTACTATCATGGTACTGCTAAATATCAATTGATAAATATTTATATAGCTATTCATCTTAAACAGGAAATATCAACAAGAATAATTTGTCTAAATATACCAGCTCACTGATTAGCGAGGAAAAGTGTACTATATGTACAGTTCTAGAAAATATATGCTACAGCATTTCTTGCAATCCTAACAAACATAAAACAATGAAAAGAAAGGAAAACAAACACTTGTTCAATTAAAAATATTGGTGGTTAATCACAGACAACTGGTCAATAAAATACAGCTGGTAATATGCCAGTAAATACTTTACTGAAATGATTGCACTAAATAGGTCACACTTTTCTTGCTGAGGATAGATAGAATAAGCAAGATCTTGAGAACAAACTGTCTGTTTCAAGAACAACAGAAAAAATATAAAACTGGAAATTTGTGTAACATAAAAGTCATAAGATTATAAGAAAGTGATAAGGTCTCTACTTTGATGGACTTTGTGGATAGGAGGGAATTAACTCGTTCCGTACTTTCCAGATTCAAACACACCCTTTCTGAAGAATGGAGAAAAATCTATCAAAACTGGACGGGTAAGATTATCCCTAGCCTGATGGAGAGGGCAACTTGCTACAGTGGAGCACACTCGAATGAGTGCCCGTAGATAAACCTCAAGTTGAGCTCGTCTCTTGCCAGCCACCACTTCAGAGCGCTTTGAAAACAAGCGACGTGGAGGAAATTCCAATGATGAAACCTTATACAAATGCACAAAATATTCTTGAATTAGTTGCTTGAAGGCTTAATAGTAGCCCCAAGACTACTTGAAGGCTTAATAGTGACCCCAAGATAATGCAACTTTTTACATAAATACCGGTACTCACCACAGATCCATACTTTTCACGCATTTGCAGGTGAAGTTCACGGAACCTCCTATAACGGCGCAACAGTGTCCAACGTTCGCCACCAGCATTAACACGCACTTCATACTCATAGTGAGTAGATGAGCCAGCTCCTCGTATTACGTAACTCGGAATGTGAATGAGTTCTCCATCATCTGTAAGCATTCAAGTAGAAAATCAAAATTAACATTGGAAGATTTCAGTGTACATCCCTTGCTAAAACAAGAAAGACTCTCACCACAAGAATGTAAAGATGTTCTGGAGCGTGCTAAGCTGACACTGCTGAAGTTATCATCTTGGCTCTGAAACAAGATGAGTTTGTTTGGATTATTTATCTGTGACTAACAACCTGCACAGAAAGCCTGGTAAACTTCACCAAAAAAAAAAAAAAAAAAAGCTCACATTTAGGGTGGCAGGATTTAAAGGTGATAGGGTGGCTTCCCTGAAAAGGGAGGAGAGATGTATAACGTCAATTTACAATCAATCAATCAAAATCAAATACACAAAAGAAAGTTAAGAGACTATAGGTTTTACTTTACCTGAGACCAGAATGGTCAAGAGATTCACGATGCCCATTAGTATAGCTTGGCTCAGACATTCTAAAATTAAATAAGGTAAATATTCAAAGTCAGCTGAAATAATTTTTAAATGACTCCTCAATAATTCTATTTGATGGTAAAACTCACATATCATCAGCAGATGTGGACATATCATCAGAGTCTTCGATGGAACCAAGAGTTGGAAGTGTTGACAGATTTCCAAGAGATGAACGATTTTCTTTTCCTGTGTGCTGCTCAAGAGCCAATTCGAGGCAAAGATACTGCTTTTGCAATTCTTGCAACACCTAATGAGAGAAATATTTAGATCAAAAAGTTATGGACATCAAAAGCTGAATTAATCCAGTGTAATGGTAACATATCACTCACAGCGATGCGCTCATTCAGCTCCTGTTTACCACAATCGTCCTCTAAACTTTGGATAACAAGCATTTTTTGGTTTGCGACACGTTGGTATAAGGCTTGCATGGCTCGCATTGCATCCCTCACATTAAGTTCAGATTCACCTCGACGCAAACTGATAAGTCCATTCTAGGAGCACATATCAAACAGATTAGGAAAACTCTTAAAATATTGGATAATGAAGGATCAGTACTACCATACGATCAGTTTAAAAAGGAGGGAACAGAAACCAAAGATCACCTTCAAATGGCGAGGAGGGCGGTGGTGAGGACGAACACGGCTTGAACTACCTTCACCTCGGACGTTAGGGGGCTTATTAGAGAGACAATCCTCTGTGCTCGAGACATCATCACTGTCATCACAATTTGGAAGAGCCCTTGCAACAATATTGTTGGTGCTTGCCTGCAGCTGAGGACCACAAAGTAGGATAATGGCAAAATAGTACTTTAAAATCAATAGGAGTGTAGAAAAAGGATGGAAAGCCTACCCAGCTATGTAAAAGAGGATCTCTTGCTAGACTACTCCTCGTGTCCAGCTCCACACCACTGTCACTTAAAACACCTGTGTCCACTCCTGCATCGGCACTTGCATTGTCTTGAATGGCACTGCTGAAACTGGCACTTAGCATAGCAGGTGACGCACAGGCAGTGTGAAACGAAGCATCATCAACGATTTCACTCAAAGCAGGCAGGTAAGGTGTTTCTAGAAACTCTGTTGCAGTGACCATTGGCGTTTCAGCTTCAGCTTGGCCAGAGAGACCCTTACTGGTGGATGCGCCAAGAGTACTCTGCTGAGAAGAGGAAGCAGCAGGAGCAGAACTACTGGGGGCTAACCTTTCCTTTAGGTCTAATCTGAATCTGTCCAGAACATAAGAAAAACAGAGTATTAATCACAAAAAGGGAGCTTTTCCAAGAAGTCTGATATAATTTGAAAGTTTTAAACCACTTACGATTTTTTGCGTTCCATAATGCGTTGCAATTCTTCTTGTGTACGTTCACTTATCAAACGTTTCAGATCTTCTATTGGTAAGCTGTTTGACTCTGCGTTTTGCACTATATTGATATCAGACTCCAGCCTTTCGGCCCGAGCGCGACCCTCAGCCAGAGCAGCAACTTTCCTTTGGAACTCAGCATCCAGCATCACCATGTGTCTCTTCTGGACAATTCAAGCCAGTAAGAGAAACTTAATTAGATCAACTTAACAATATAAAAATGAAATCGTTTACGTAAAGGCTTAAACTTACATGTTGTTCAATCAGTAACTTCATTGCATCGTTGTCCCCAACTTGCACAGCAGACCCAGGTGCAGTGCTTGCCCAGGAGTCAATACTTTCAGAGTCAATAGCCGAGGGGGATGAAAGAGGAGGGGGAGAAGTTGGATTGGAGCTGTCTGTAGTTGGAGTGATCTCACCAGACCACGAACTCAGCTGAAATTTACAGACAAGATGTTTTTTTAGAAACATTTCAAACCTGATTTTTAAATCATTGCCCATGGTAAAATACACACACATGCATTTCCTTAAACCCATCAAAAGAGAGAGTGAGAAATATAACAAGTCAAATATGGAAGATCAGATGAAAAGCACAGAAATTGTAGTATAAGATTTAAAACTGGAAGAGGAGAACAAGTGAATTAATTCTGGGAGATGCAGTACTATACCTTGGCTTTAAGATTACTCAATTCCCGCCCTCTCTTTTCCAGTTCACTTTGCAGACGTGCAACTTCCAAATTATCAGCCTCAACCTAAATACAATGCAAACATAAAAGAAAGTGTAACGTGCATACTACATGGAGAAAAGCTAAAATAAAAAGGTGCAAGGCACTTCTAAAAAAAATTGTATTAAAAAAGAAAAAGATCTAAACAGTAAAACAATGTTGAGAAGGAAACTGTAACTCTAAAATACTCTTGAGAAAATAAAAATAAAAAGAACAGCTAAAACTATATAATACTGTAACACGGCAAAAACAAACTCACATACAAAAAATAATAATTGAAAAATAAGAAGAAATTGGGCATTTGTACGGAGCTTCCCATATTCAACTCACCCTGGAGGCCTGCTGAGAACGCTCCCACTCTAATGATTCTCTTAACTGCTGCAGCTCAGTTTCTCTTTGAGCCAAGGAGGCTCGAGTTTCCTGTTGTTGCTGCTCCAACCTCTGCCAGTCCTCTGCTAATCGCCTACTTTGGGCTAGGTAACTTTGCTCCAGGCGCTCTCGTTCCTGAGAAAGAAAATGAGTAGTGTGAATAGAAGATTTCACATGAGGACTGAGTTATACAAACAATAAGTTCGAAACATAAAAATTATACTTCATCAAGAGCTTGTTGTGCCTCCTCCAGGGCTTGCTGTTTCATGAACTGGTCTCTTTGGGACTGTAAGATAGAAAATGTGGTCAGACTAATGTGATCTTGTGGTCATGAATGTGGCCAATAATAAGGTAAAATTGAACAAAAAAATAATAATGATAACCATCAAAGATAGTACACACTTTGCTTTCATCTTTGTCTCTCAGCAGCAATGATGAACGTCTCAGTTTGGAAGTTCCAGATTCATTTAACTCACTGTCTTGACTGCAAGTGTAAAACAATTTAAATTAATGCATTTCGTATCCTACAAACCACATGTTCTGGTGAATAAGTACTTACTTCAAGTGCAAATTTTCAAGAGATGCATGAAGATCTGGAGTAGACCAGCTCAGAAGTGACAAGCGAGATAAATTAAGATGAGAGCGTGAACCTTCCTTCCTTAGCTTTGCTGCTTCCACAGGATCATTGTACCGGAACATATTGGTACGCCCCAACAGGATAATGCAACCTATCAACAAAGGAGCCATTGCTTAAAAATGTACACTGTAATTTTGGTGGTAATAACAAACACAACTCACCCTGAGAAAGCTTAGTGGGTTTATCAACAGGCACAGTGTTGACCCAACACTGAGCTTGGGGAGCGGGCAAAAGTGTGGCCACTCCATTGCATAGCTCAATTGTGCAGTGGTGTTTCTCAACATTAAGTCCGCTCAGCATGATATCACAATCACCTCCTTCCTCAGAACCAATATGCGTTTGTCCTTCCTGAAATGCCAAGAACATCATGTTAGATGCACCACATTTTGAATGGTGAAGTGAGAGAGGGAGTTTCTATGAGGCAGATGGCTTACCTTAAGATGGTACAAAGTGACCCCAGTACTTCTCAAGTCGTCATCAATGCCAACTAAATGTGGACGATCTGAGTCTAGGACAACTCCTTTACCAGCTTTCCTTAAGCCTAGAGCATGCTGCTCACTCAATATTTGGGCAGTTTCTCTCCACTTTTCTGCCCATTCTTCAGTAAGAGCTTGTGCTCTTGCTTCTGTTTGGTGTAACTGTGCAAGAACCAGTCCTGACCCTGATGTACCTCCTGAAGTTGTCTGAAACAATGTTTGTCAGAAAACACTAAAACCTGTGGCACAAGTACAATTTTCAAGTCAAATCTGACTTAAAACTGATAAATTAATACCATTTCTGAATCTCGAAGAGCACGAAGTCGAGCTATTTCTTCTCTCAGCTCTCGAATAAGGCGAACATTAGGATCTTCATTGACCGTTGGTTTGTTCACAATATTCTTTGCTCTATTGGCATATCGAAGAGTGCTCAATGTTTCACCATAGTTACAATCAGCAGGTGAAACAGCTGGAATTAAAACATTTGTCAAACCCTAAAAATTTCTTCAATATTAGTGTTAACTGTTGTAAAAAATTACTGACCAGCAATCATTATTGTCTTTGAGTTACCACCCAAACTGTCTTTTAATAACCATGTCAGAACAGAGTCTCTGTATGGAATAAAGCTATTTTTTCGACCACTTCCATTACTTCCATCTGAAGCCGGACTGGATACATCAGCTAGAGCAGAAATAACTGACCCCAGCGTAACAAGGGATTTGTTGATGTGTGCCCCTTCTTGAAGACGCTTTCCTGTGGCTCCAGTTGCATCAGCACGCTCACTTCCAGCTAAGTCCACCAGATGAACCTAGAAAGTTTATGAGTACAGTAAATGAAACAATCAGACACCGACAGTACAATCTAAAAGATTTAAACAAACCTTAGATAAAGTTTCAGTGGGTAAGTCACCAGAGAAACAAGCCTGAGTGAACAGGATAGTGAATATTGCATGACTCCGGCTACTGACATCATTCATGTTAGTCGAAGCAGTCGTTCTCACATTGTTGCCTCTTATCATAAGCTCCTACACCAATAAAAATGGTTTGTATTAGTTAAAATCGAGTTACACAAGTTTGCATATTATCTGTGATGACACTATACCTCTATCTCAGGGTAATTTGTAACAAGATGTCTGGAGAGATCTTGCACATAGGGTCCGAGTCGCGGATGTTCTCGCACCCGTAAACTATGATTTGTAGCTGGGGTAAGGAGATCCCTTACTCGTTCATTGTAGATTTCAAGGTAACTGACTTCAGTGCGGTATGTATATTTGACCCCAGAGTGGGCCATATTTTCCTGTTGCTTTCTGAATAGAGTTTGACATATCCTTGGTATAAGACCGATACATTCCTAATCAGAAAGAACAAGAAAAAAATTAAGAAAATTTCATAACAGGTAAGGTAAATATAGTAGGAACAGGAGCTGTACGTACTGGAGCACCCATCATAGTGAAAGTTTTTCCACTTCCGGTCTGTCCATAAGCAAAGACACATGCATTATATCCTTCAAATGCACAATCTATCACATCCATTCCAAGATCGCGGAACACCTTGATTAAGAAAACAAAAATGAATCAAATGCACAATGCACACTTGATGAATACTTGTCCAGATTGAAACAATATTCTCACTTGTTCTTGTGATGCATAATGAGGGTCTCCGTGGTCAAAGGACCAGTATGAGTAATCAAATGTAAAATCCTTGTAGCGCTCTCTCCCTAAATCTCCATCTTTTCCATCTGCCACCTACAAATACACAAATTTATTGTGTGGAAAAAAAATCATCAGACTTTAGGAAAAAGATTCTTAAGGATGAATACCTTTGAGTTGACAATACGAGTTTTCTTCCCTTTCATATCTATGATCAGCTTAGCCTGCATATCAGTTTCCCTGAAAAAAAATAATGACAGAGCAAATTTTAATGTTTGCCACTAAACTTTTTTCTGCCCAGACATAAATTTTACTGATAGAATGTAGGCTGATGTTGGTCCTTGAGAAGAAAATGAGCAGGGCCCTATTGGTATGGTTGTGAAAATTGACCTCAAGGAGATGAAATCGATGCAGAAATGAGCTGGAATTTAGAGCCAATTCAGCAAGAACATGAGCATGCTAAACTGACATGATTAAACAAAACTTAGTCTCTTTTGACATGTATTGATTTGCTAGGTTAGGAAAAGTCTGTCATGTCCCAACAAAGCATATTACTAAAATAGGAATTTAGACTGCACATCACAAGGAAACGTAACTGAAGCGTAGTGGGTAAAAACGACGCAAACTCGATTCGGAAGGCAGCAGTGACATTACCTTTGATTAAAGGGCCGAACCCTTACGGCTACCTTCACAGACGCCATAGTTAAGTCGGTTCTAAATTACAGCCAACTTAGAATCACGACACTCTAATGACTCCTCACAATACTTTTGCCCAATCACTCCCAGTCTGTGCAGCATCTCTTCAGCATTTCCTTCCCTTCAAAGTTGCAACAGAATGTGTGAACTGTCCCACGACAGACAGCTGATGAGGACAACGACAGGAGCGACAAACAAAAAACACACGGCCCCCTGGATGTCCCCAAATCCACATGATTTTGCAAACTAGGGGTAGGCTACCAAAACATATCTTGGGATGAAAGAAATCAAGGCGAAAAAAATTAAACCTAAATAAAATTTTATTTCCGCCCAAAGAGGATTTACCAGTCCAAATTCAAAATTTTCTACCCCCTCCCCTTTTGTACGACGCTACCCCCACCCTTTCTTTTCACCCCCTCCAAGTTGTGTCACTTTGCGTGGTGAATCTGACTTCATGTCCACTAAAGGACACATCTCCCGCTCGTTAGGTGAAGACATAAATCCTCGCCACCCATTGCATCGGTTTCCTGCTAAAATGTGTCCTGACTGCATGTGAAATGATAAAGTGGGCTGCCCAAGTTGAGAAGATCTTTATACTTGGCTGGTGGCGGTGGCTTGGCGGATCGCCATCTTGAGGCTTGCTTGTTGTAACGGCTGCAACGCCCTCACACGATCATTCCTGAAAAACTAAGGTATGTGTTCTGGCCACAGCGCTAGTGGAGTCAAAACATCTCGGCAGCAAATATATTATCCGCGGGGATTTCGGCAAACTAGATACTATGTTCTCAAAGTTCAATTTTGCTTCAAAAGAATGAAATGTTGTTCCCGCTTCCTTAGTATTAGACGGCTCTGTCATAATTTGCTTCCACCATCTTGCTGCCTTGGCTTTGCTGTAGCCTGTGGCGCTAGAGCTCATTTGAAGAAATTTTCAAACCTAAGTTGACTTTGTATCTAGAAACTGGCATAACTGTGAGTTGGCGGTGTGCCGATAGATAGAGTTTTCTGACGGCGGTATTTTGTCGGCGGTTTGATTAAATGGAGACTTTTACTTCATGACCTTTGCGGATCCCATAGCCTTTCCTGACAATGTTTGATTTAAAAATGATCACTCACTTTGCAATGTATTCTCCGGTTAGACATAAGTTATTCATCTACAATTAGAAAGGTACATAGTTCTAGTAAATAACCAAGAATTGATTATGATATCTCCAATTTAACCCCAAAAACCTGTGCCAGGTTTTCATGTTTTGTCCAAATTCAACCATTAGCTGTCAAAATTTGTCTTTCATTGCTCTAGAATTAATTCAAGCTAAACAAAACAATATCTTTAGCCTACAATTTGACAAGCACATATTACTTCCTTCTTAGCAAGTCATTTATTATTCAGAATTCATCATTGATCAAAGTTTCTTCAAGATTTATTTTTGGCCAATTTTCTATCTATTGTGGGTGGTAATTAACCTATTGCGTTTTATCTTATTTTTTCCAGGTTTTGCCACCGATGACCCCCTTATAGATTAAACTTATTTCAGTGACTTCAAGATGAGTGCCCTCAAGGACAAGAAAACAAGTAAATATTGTGTTTTTGTGCAAAATAAACAGAGGACTCAAATTCATTTTATTCTTATTCTCCCTTGCTCTTTGCCAGTAAGTGTAACTTCTTATTTTCAATTATTTTGTTTTTGCAGCGCAAATAAAGCTTGAAGCAACTTCAAGTGAGACCATCACTGACATTCAGAACTACCTAGACAATTTTAACAAAGAAATTCAAACTGGTGATGGCACTACCACTATTCAGCCTCTTTCAGGTAAACTGCTTTTTCCACTGTAATTGGAAAATTACAAATCTTGTTTTGTTTTCTTAGTTTTAACTTCTATTTTTCATTTTTGCAGATGTTCAGCAATTGATCACTGACTCTGACAGTGCCAATGAAGGTACCTACTTTATGGACGAAAATGGACAATATTACTTTCAGTCAAATCCAAGTGAGACTCCAGTCCTTGTTTCAAGTAAGGTTCCTAACTTACCATTCCTGTGTGTCAGCTAAGCAAACTGTCTGAACTTTTTTTTTTATTAAATATGACCTTATATCTTGTAGATATTCCAAATGCTGCTCCTGCTGCAACTAATAATCAGACAACTTATGTTGCAATGCAATCCCAAGGAAATCAAAACCAAGCAAGCACAGTTCAAACTATCCAAACAGTTCAAGATGTAAGTAATTCTTGTCTACTGAAACTCTCGTGAGTCATGGAGCATCTTAGGTTTCATCTTCATGATGCATTTCTTGAACATTTTCAGGGGCAACGCATGATAATAAACCCCGGTGATTCATATCAAACAGTCACCATTGTCCCATCTGATACAAATCCTGGCGAAGTGAGCTATGTACTTATAGTGCAACAGCCTGAAGATGACAAGGATGGAGAAGAAGATGAGGACGAAGAGAAAAATGATGATCAAGACCTCACTGTTTATGACTTTGATGAAGGGGAGGATGGTGGACCTGGACCTTTGGTACTTAATTTATTTCTTTATCTTTTTCCTTTATTGTTGATGTTAGGATATGAAATCACTCATTCCAAACCTTTTTATTATTATTATTATTAGGAATCTGGAGATGAAGACGACAAAACCAAAATTGTGAAAATACTGCCAAAGAAATCTCAGACTGTAACCCAAGCTCACATGTGCAATTACTGCAATTATACAAGTCCTAAGAGGTGATATACTTATCTATTGGGGAGATTCTTTGTTATTTGTTCTGTGTTATTGGTTACTTACTTGTACTTTATGAATAATTAGGTACCTCCTGTCACGCCATATGAAGTCCCATTCTGAGGAACGGCCTCATAAATGCAGTGTGTGTGAAAGAGGTTTTAAAACCTTAGCATCTCTTCAAAACCATGTGAATACTCACACGGGTACCAAACCACACCGGTGTAAATTTTGTGACAGCTGCTTCACAACATCAGGTAACCTTTGTCTCTTTGACAAGGGAAATGCATTTTTCTATCTTATGATTTTTTTTGACTTATTAGCATGATATAGCATCATATTACCTGTTTTCTTGCGATTTACTTTTTGTAAAGCTAAGCTAAGCCAAACTTAAGTGACTAGTCCTCTAAAATTAGAGATTTTTGAAGAGCCAGTTGACCTTTTCTGATTTGTACGCGTCTTGATTCAGCGAAATAGTTTTTTCTTCTTTATCCAATCATTCTCACCTCTTATGGGCACTTTTTACAAGTTTGTATTAATTATTATTTGGAAGATTAAGCCTTTAAGTCATACTTCAAACTTCTAAAATAATACACACTGTACTACAGGAAATGCTAAACTTAAGTGGTTTGTACCGAATATATCTCCCTTGCTCTGGTCCTCAATTTTATAATCTTTATACCTCCACACCCTTATGCATGATTGGCAAATTTCTTTAGCTTTGATTTTTTTTTACCTACTTGAAGCATTTATGAAAAACCGAGTAAAATTTATTTTCTTTATTTAAAGTATAGCTTTCTTTATTTTCATAAAATTTTATTTGCTTTGAGCTTCTGTTTTTTTTTTGTTTTTTTTTTTTGGTTGATTTTGTTTGTTAATGAAAGTAAACACCTAAATGAGCTAATCTTTTCTTTCTTTGCCAACTTTTGGAGAGGTTGAATGCTGGGACCAGTAGTCCCTGTGTGAAATGAATGTTCAATTTGATATCTTCCACAGGTGAACTTGTAAGACATGTTCGGTATAGACACACACTCGAGAAACCGCATAGATGTAACGACTGTGATTACACTAGTGTGGAATTGAGTAAATTGAAGCGGCACTTGCGATGTCACACTGGCGAGCGCCCTTATCAGGTGAGGCCCTTTATGTTTGCATTGATTTTCACAGGTGAACTTGTTAGGCATGTTCGGTACAAACATACCCATGAGAAACCCCACAAATGTAGTGTTTGTGATTACGCCAGCGTGGAACTTAGTAAAATGAGGAACCACATGAGATGCCATACAGGTGAAAGACCGTATCAGGTAATTGTCACTTTATATTTCATGTTCTTCCCAAAGGAGATTCAATGATACGTTTCCAGATAACCTTTCATCTTGAATCACAAATGATGGTTATTGCGGTGTATGGTTCTCTTGGCTCTCTGTCATAAGTGGTGTCGAAGGCTTCCATGCATGTTGTTTCTTCTTCCTTTCCTTACCTGTATCATTACTCACAAAACAAATTAAAAATTTGGCCTGATAGTACCCTTTACTTTTAACTGTAAAAGACATAATTAACAAACTTGGACTAGGAAATGATAGTACAATCTTATTTTCTCGACTGGTTAAGCAGTAAATTATGTCTAAGTCACCCATGTGGTTATCTTGTGGATGTGTTCATGTACTGCATACATTACAAATTTTTTAAATGTGAATCAACTGAGTTTATCTACCTACATTGCTTTAAGCGGGATTTTCTCAAGGATTTAGTGTTGTACTGTTTTTGTTTTGGTCTTTTATAATTGCCTGTGCCTTTTTATCGGAGCAAAATTTTGTAATTTTTTTGATGCTGGTATTTTATGTTTAGTGTTTGCCTTATTTATCTTATTTAAATTCATATGAAATTTGATGGTTTTAAAAATTAGGGACTTGCTTAATGCAGAATTTTGTTTCTGGCTGATTTTGCTTTGGGCGTAACTTCATTGTTATTCCGTATAGCCAAGCACTTAGATGTGTTGGGCACATCATGTTGTGTGTTAGCTGTACCTGTACTAATTGTCTGTCTTCTGCCCTTTTTTTAGATGAATAAGTTTTTTATTTCTTTTTTTCTTTGTTGATTATAGTGTCCTCATTGCACATATGCAAGCCCTGATACATTCAAGCTGAAGCGCCACCTTCGAATTCACACCGGCGAGAAGCCATATGAATGTGATTTTTGCCGTGCAAGATTCACTCAGTCGAACAGTTTGAAAGCACACATGTTGATACATAGAGGTAAGTCTTTCTTTATTTTTAAAGAAAAAAGTGATAACTTGCGTATATTTTGTTCATGGGTGTTAACAATTCACTAATAGGTGATCCAAATTTCTCTTCTGAAGAAGTGGGAGATAAACCCATCTACAGATGTGAGCTTTGCCCAACTACGTGTGGACGGAAAACTGATTTACGCATCCATGTTCAAAAACTTCACACTTCTGACAAACCTTTGAAATGTAAGCGCTGTGGCAAAACGTTCCCTGACCGATACACTTATAAGGTGAGTAATAAAATGTGCAGTCATAAATTTACTTATGTTGAAAGAGATTGTGTAGGAGTTCTATTATCTGTGCTTTGCATCATTATGATTGTATCACTTTTCTTTTCCTTGTCAGGTTCACAATAAAACTCATGAGGGAGAAAAGTGTTACAAGTGTGACTTGTGCCCTTATGCATCAATATCAGCAAGACATTTGGAATCTCATATGTTAATACACACAGACCAAAAGCCTTATCAGTGTGAAATGTGTGATCAGGTTGGTACTTATGATTATTTCCATGATGTGATGTATATTTTTATGGTTGTACTTATATGCATTTTGGAAATTTGCAGTCTTTCCGGCAAAAGCAGTTACTTAAGAGACATCAGAATCTTTACCACAACCCACAGTATGTACCACCATGCCCACGAGAGAAGACACACGAATGTCCTGAGTGTGGACGGACATTCCGCCACAAGGGCAATTTGATCCGTCACATGGCTGTTCATGACCCTGATGCAACCACACAAGAAAAGGCCATGGCTCTGAAACTTGGACGACAGAAAAAGATTCAAATTATTGATGGCCAGCAGGTAATCTTTTGTCAAAGTGTGGTTTTGCAACTTTTGCTTTGGTGTCGTATGGGTGTGCCTCTATTTTTGTTTCTACTTCTGCAGGTGGAAGTGATGCCCGAAGATGAAATGGAAGATGAAGAAGATGATGAGGATGAAGACAGTGGTGGTCAAGGAATGATGGCTGTCCAAGGCTCCGATGGGCAACAGTATGTGGTTTTAGAAGTTATTCAACTACAAGATGGTGATGGTCAGGAGCAGGCTTTGGCTGTCGTCACCGACAATATGACTGGTGTTCACAATTCTGTTGGACATGACAGAGATGATGACAGTGACAGTGGAGAGCTCATTACAGGACATCATCCCTGTAAGTTTGTCCACCTTTGAACTGATCTATGGCTTATTGTAAAAGTTAAAAACAACATAGTAATTTCTTGAAATTCCCTCTTTAGCATTGACGAACGAACAAATTCTTCAAGTTCAAAAGATGGAAGAAACTAAAGATGGGATAACTCTGAAGAGAGTTGTAGATCCCAAGAGTGACATGCAAAATTGCTTCGGGTTTGATGTAAGTAGAAATCTTTTTTAATTACTAGTATTAGCTTATGTGCCAGTATCAGCCATGTGTGGAAGACTTACTCTGTATATTTCATTTTACAGGAGGATGATGATGATGCCGATATGGAAATAGAAGGTAGTAAAATTCATATATTGCAATCAATTACTTAAAGTATGAATTTGTGTGTGAAAAATCTGATAAGTACAATTTGAATGTGTTAAAATATCTCAGCATGTATATTATGTATAAAGTATTTAATTGTGTCTTATTGTAAGTGTACATTTGGTCATTGTAACACAATTGTGCCATTGTGTCATCAAGTACTATTAATTTGTTAAGCTTGTCATAAATTAGATTTATATAGAATATAACATAAATAAATTGTAATTAAATTGACTGTAAACAAGGCCAGAATTCTCATCCTCAGATACAATCTATCACACGTTTTTAGATGCTATGGTCAAGAAATTCAGTTCTGCTTCAACCATTGAGACACCAATGCCCTGATCTGCTTCCGTGCCGAAACCAGTTGAGGAGGGTCACTTTTGATGCTTGGATACATCACAGCACAATGGGCAGTATCTGGGAGGAAGAGACATGAGTCAGTACATGGAAGATTATTAATGGTATGTTACTTCAGTTCAAAAAACCAGTACCTTTAATATAGATTGCTGGACTTTCTTTGTGGAGAGTCTTTATGACTCCCAGAGCATGCCATGGATCAGTGGACCCGTGGGCAAACACTATCCTGCTGGCTTGGATATGGAGGTCACCATACATGGTATTTGTACGTCTTATGGCATTATTCATGAGATCAGAAGTAAACCTGTGGTATGCAATTGGTTAATAGTTAGTAACATTTTCCATTTATGTTAAAGCAAACTCTCAAAATTTCCTACTGACTTTGCTCCAAAGATGTCTGAGCACTGTTTCGTAAAAAAATTAACTGGGAATTTATTTGAAAAAATTTCTTGAGTCATTGTGGATGTCTGATAAAATCCAAATTCCACACAAGTTTGATAAGTCCACTGTCTGCCTGAAAAAGGTAAAAAGGTAATTCAAGACAAGTATTCTTTCAGAAGACAGAACATGAACAGTCTACACTGCTTATTACCTCCTTCTGCCACAGAACTTTCCCATGTAGTGTTGCTCATATCTTTAATCATCTTTTTATAAGTGTAATCTAAACATGACTGGTTAGTTGCTTTCAGTAACATATCATTTACAAGGGCCAGACGATGAACTGGTACGCCTTTCTCTCTGTCCGACATAACATCACAGACAACGTCAATGGTGATATTGTGCGTAGGAGACTTGGGTCGGTTATCCTTATTATATTGAACAATACCAGCGAAATTGCTGGCAAGATTTTCAAAGAGACTAGCAACATCATCTTCATTTGTAACATCAATCTTATCACACAGCCTGGAAAGTAGCAAGACAAGTTAGATTGGTCCTATCTGAAAGGGTTAGTGGCAAATAAAAATATTCATTTGCATTTGATAGTAACCTAAACTGTTTGTTCAAGTCTTGTTGTCCAATCATGTGTTTCAATAAAATCTCAACTTGTTGGAAGGCTGATTGTACAGATTTGATACAATCTTTGCTGTACTCAGACAAAGCATCCCTGACAACAGCATAATACTCTGAAACAAAAGTAGAGGACCAAATAAGAAATTTGCACCATTCATGAGTCAACTGCTGTGTAGGAAGACATTACCTTTAAAATCGAGTTTTGCAAGAAGTGGTCCACTTGCTGACATGGCTCCATGAACTAGGTGCGGATAACGCATTCTCATCCAAGCTGCCAAAGAACCAGGGTATGATCCTCCATGTACAATCCACTTAGTGCCCACAGGCAAATCAACATTCATGGCTTCAATGAAATACGCTAAGTCAGCTAGTGCTTGCTCACTGCTCAGATACACGAGGTTTTCTGTGCTGATATCACTGAAAATAGAATGTGTATATTAATATTTATGTTGAGCTAACATTAATTAAAGGGATTCTACAGTTTGTAACTTACTCGGTAGGATGACTTTTGCCATAGTATCGGTGTTCTAGCTGGAAGCAAAGGGCATTAAAATATGCAGCGTCTTCAATCCACTGGCCTTCCACCATCCACTTGGCAGTCGCTTCACCTTCACCACCAATCATCAGAAAAACAGGACCGCCCTGTTTGTAAAAGGTGTTGTTCGTGAAGTACCTCTGTAACAAGAATCTTTTCAGTCGAATCGATACCTTCCTCTGCCTCACCTATGTCATTTGACCAAAAGCCTACCTGTTTCCAAGTCCGTTGATTGGTTGGATCGAAATGGTCCAACTGTTGGGTGAACCATTGTTCAGGAGGAAGGAGGTTTTCAGGGAATTGAGATTTGGTCCACAGCTGAACATTGCCTCCATGTTGACGGCCGCGGTGAAAGAACCTCAGGCCGTTGGCTGTCCAAGCCATGCAGGCCAGACTCGTCAACAGAACCGCAAACCACACCGTTCGAGCCATCTCAGGGCAGTTCAGGTTCCAGTTTCAGGCGTTCCAGGCCTAGTGAGGTCCACACTTGCACAGATCAGCTGAGCGCCGCCGGCTTCTGCCTGGGTTGTGGGCTGCGGCGGCTGTAGCTTTGGGAAGACGATGTCGGATGACCTTTGCTCTTTCTCGTTGCGACTGCGATTTTCAGAGCCGAGCAGCGAGAAGTGCATCAACCAGCAAAATGGGACTCCAGACTTCTGACTTGAGGCAGACGACTGAACTGTGATTTGTGGTTTTGTTTGAAGAGTCGCTTTGTTGTGGAAGGGAAGGGAAGGGGAAGGGCAAACGAGGCAGAGGGGAGACACCGGCCATGAATGGAAGAAAAAAGGGGGGGGGATATGGCCGAGGAAGAGGGCAGCGTTATCCAGTTGTTCTCAGGCGTGGATCCAGGATTTCCCTGAGGGGGAAGGGGTAAAGTCTTGTTCTTTTTGCCTACTTACAGGGGTAAAGTGGGGCTTGTCTACGAAAATTCCTCTACTTCGGGAAGATTGGTTGGCCGGGGCTGCTTGGCTGCTGGGGCCTACAAGGGATTGGAGTTCTCGGAAGCCCGGGGTCACCCCAGAGAGGACGAGGCCACCCCTTGAGTACACGTCGTCTGTTTCCAGCCATAACTCTGGCCAACGGGAACATTTTCATCTTGCAAGAAATAAATCTTATTGCAGTTGTAGCGAAGCGAGAAGTCAGCTCGGCGCATGGCCCTCACCGCGACAAGGAACGGCTGTGAATGACAGAAGGGGGAAGACATTCGATGCGATGTCTATTTGTGCTTCTATTGGATGCCATCGAGTGAAAGTCGTCAGTTTGGCAATAGCTAGCTGAGTGACATCATCTGCTAAAATGAGCCAGTTTGGTGATAAATCGGGGCAGACACCGATAAGCACAGCACTGAGCCCACGCTTCACGCTACGCCCCCGCATCAGCGCGAAGCGCCCTCCCGGCGGCACGGTCCGCGGCACGGTGGCTGACGACCAGGATTGCCATTTTGCGGCTCTCCACCTACAGCGGCTGAACGATGCATTGGCATTCCCTTGAAGACAAACGCGGCTAACGCGGCTCTATTACCGTTCACAGAGCTCGTCGACAAAAAAAAACAAAAAAAAACGAAGATTGGCTCCAAAAATGAGATTTGTTTCGAGCGAAATGGAAATTTTTCCTTCGGTGGGTACTGGTCGTGGCTGACAGTGTACTGTAGAGAGGCGGCTACATGCCCTGTAGGGCTTCCGAGAGCTCTAGTCCCGCCCCTTCATTCCCCGTAGGCCTGGAACTGGACTTCCCGAAGCCGCTGCTGGACTGCTGGACCTTCGGCCAGCTTCGGCCACCTTCGGCCGCTTCGCCTGGTGCCTCTACCCCCTCCCGAGTGCCGATCATGCCTAGGGAGCCTCTCCCCCCTCCCTCTTCCTCTCCCCTTCCCCTCCTCGTCCAATGTTGTTTTTCAAGTTGAGCAAGTGGAGCCGGCAGCCGGCAGCAGGCAGCATCAACAAGTCAACAAGAGGACGGAGCAATCTTGTTCATCTGCGGCTTCAAGGAGGGCCCAGTCGCTCTTTCGCTTCGCCCTTGCTGCTCTTCTCTCCTGGTCGTGTCTCCGCGCAAGTGTTGCCGAGAGCGTCTCTGTGCCTAGTCGTGCGGGCCGCACTCGCACGTGTCCTGGATAACTTGAGCCTCCGTGCAGATTATGTAAGCACCTGCACTTTTCCTTGGATCTGACACTCGCGTCACTTTTGCATGTCCTTGCTTTTAAACGTAAATTACGGTGTACGCGCCACGCTCGATCTGCAACCCGTTGCTTGTTGGATTGAACAACAGGTGGTTTCCAAACGCAAGCGAAACTTAAAAATAAAACTTCTTTACTTTGTCGTGGTTTTTCATTGTGTGTAACTAGTGCATTATTTTGTTTCTATTTTCAGATTCGTAAATCATGGCATCTCAAGGGGATGGTGTGGCGAAGGTGCTCTCTGGCACTGAAGTCGCCAAGTAAGTTGTGTGGAGCTTACGCCCTGCGGAAGGTTCTGAAGGTTGGTCTTGTCTAAATTGTAATTTCATTTATTTTCAGGGAAATTCGTCTTGGATTGGCGGATGATGTTGCCAAGATGGCCAAAGTGCTGCCTGACTACAAGCCTGGTCTGGCAATCGTCCAAGTTGGAGGACGAGAAGACTCCAATGTTTACATACGCATGAAACTTAAAGCCGCTGAAGAAATTGGCATCTCTGCAACCCGCCACCAATTTCCAAGGACTATTACTGAAGCAGAGGTGAAATTTGGAAGATTCTTTGAAATATTTCAGTGTCAAAAGTTTCATTCTAACTTAATTATACTAAACTGCTCTAAATTGTTACAGCTCCTCATGAAACTCAAGAAATTGAATGATGACCCTAGCATTCATGGCATTATTGTGCAGATGCCTCTTGATTGTGACAACAAAATCGATTCTCATCTCATTACTGATTCAGTTTCTCCTGATAAAGATGTAGATGGGTAAGCGCCACTTCAAATATTCTTTTGCTGCATGTCACGGACGGTTGTCTAATTCCCCTTGTTCCAGGCTGAACACTATTAATGAAGGCCGTGTTGCTGTTGGTGACATGGGGGGATTTTTGCCTTGCACTCCCAATGGTTGCATTGAACTGATAAAACGGTAATGGACCTTTGTGTGTTTTTCCTATTAGTGTTAAGACTGTTGTTTAGTCTTTCATTACATTGTGTTTCTTTTTATTTACCGTTTAGGAGTGGAACTCCTATGCAGGGTGCTCAAGCAGTTGTCTTGGGAAGAAGTAAGATTGTCGGAACTCCTGCTTCTGAGCTCCTGAAGTGGAATAATGCCACAGTTACAGTATGCCATTCCCGCACTAAGAATTTGGAGAAAGTTGTAAGTATCTTCTCTTTTCACAAACAGTTGAAACCTACTACCACAAAAATTACAATTTTCTCAATTAATTTCAGACTGCTCAAGCTGATATACTTGTTGTGGCCATTGGTCAACCTGAGATGGTCAAGGGCAGCTGGGTCAAACCTGGAGCTGTGGTCATCGATTGTGGTATCAACGCCATCCCTGGTGGGTATTAATGCACTGAGAAGTAATCTGATAATCCACTGTTTTCAACAAAATGTGTGGGTGGATTGGGCATTTAGTGGAGCTTGCTTCAGTTGTTTGCTCTGTGATAAGACAGGTCAAAGGGTGAAGTCTTGCCTCATCCAATGCACGGCTCACAGCCGACCTTAGTGATCTTCTCATTTTTTACCGATGTGGTTTATGCTTTCCCAATCTTTGCTGTGATTGGAAAGCTTTTCTGAAGTTAAATGCATAAGCCTTCTCAACTGTTGTAAATCATTAAGTAGCTTGAATTTTATTTCCTCTTTGCCCTCAGATCCAACTAAAAAGACAGGCCAACGTTTGGTGGGTGATGTGGCCTATGATGAAGCTAAGTTGGTGGCTTCTTACATAACACCAGTTCCTGGGGGTGTTGGCCCTATGACAGTTGCCATGCTGATGAAAAACACAGTACTCTCTGCTCAAAGAGCCTTTGATAAACTTATCAGTTGCAAGTGGAATTTACGCCATCTTCCTTTGAAGTTGCAGTCTCCTATCCCCTCGTAAGTTCTCACTTAAATTTTTGCTTTTGGTAATGTATAAGAAAACTTTGCTGACAATTTTTTTATTTTTTTTATTTTTTTTAGGGACATTGCCATTGCCCGAGCCCAGGAGCCCAAGGATATTATGCAACTGGCTCAAGAGATTGGTTTGTTCCCTGGTGAAGTGGAGCAGTATGGAAGCAAGAAGGCTAAAATTAACATTTCTGTAGTTGACAGGCTGAAACATTCTAAAAACGGCAAATATGTTGTTGTTGCTGGGTAAGTGCATGTGTCTTGTGTCTGATAAACTTTTTGACATTTTTTAAAACCCTTTCCCTTTTTCTAGTATCACACCCACACCTCTTGGAGAGGGGAAGAGTACTACAACGATTGGTTTGTCCCAAGCCCTTTCTGTACACAAGGGTAAAAATGCATTTGCTTGTGTGAGGCAGCCTTCTCAAGGACCTACATTTGGCATTAAAGGTACAGCTTGGAGATTTTTTTTTTTTTTTTTTTGACTCTGTTAGAGCATTGACATCAGAGATTTCATACCGTTTATTTTCTTCAGGTGGAGCTGCAGGAGGAGGGTATTCCCAGGTGATACCAATGGAAGAGTTCAACCTCCATCTCACTGGTGATATTCATGCAGTTACTGCTGCCAACAACCTTCTGGCTGCTCAGATCGATGCTCGTATGTTCCATGAAGCCACTCAGTCTGACACTGATCTGTTTGACAGGCTTGTTGCAAAGATTGGTGGTGTTAAAAAGTTTTCCGAAATCCAGGCAAGTATTCATAACAAGATATTTTTTGGTTATTTAATGCTTTGAATTGTTATAATAACGGCTATCTACTTTTTTATTAGTTGAGGAGACTGCAGCGACTTGGCATTAACAAGACAGAGCCAGATTCCCTCTCTCCAGAGGAAAAGAAACGCTTTGTTCGTCTGGACATCAATCCTGAAACAATCACATGGCCAAGAGGTAAACAAGCAGCGAAAACAGTTGAAGCGGCTATCATTACATGAAGTTTGTTTAACAATATGATATTTTTGTTGCAGTACTTGACACCAATGACAGATACCTCCGTGAGGTAACCATTGGACAATCTCCCACAGAGAAAGGCAAGACTAGAAAGACTGGATTTATGATTTCTGTTGCTAGTGAGATTATGGCCATATTAGCACTTGCCCAAAGTATGGACGATATGATAGAGCGCTTGGCAAAAATTGTTATTGGCTATGACAACAATGGAAACCCTGTAACAGCTGATGATCTCGTAAGTAAACTCATAATTCATTTGTCTGTATTTTTTACCGTCCAAATTTGTATGAATTTTGTTGTTTTTGTAGGGTGTGACTGGAGCGTTGGCCATCCTTCTGAAGGATGCTATTCATCCTACTTTGATGCAAACCTTGGAAGGATCTCCTGTGCTTGTCCATACTGGTCCTTTTGCCAACATAGCACATGGCTGTTCCTCTATTGTGGCTGACTCTGTGGCTCTGAAGCTGGTTGGCCCTGAAGGTTACGTCATAACAGAGGCAGGTTTTGGATCAGACATTGGCATGGAGAAGTTCATGAACATTAAGTGTCGCACCTCTGGCCATGTTCCCAATGCCATGGTCCTGGTGACGACGGTGCGAGCCCTCAAGATGCATGGAGGTGGCCCCCCAGTCGTCCCCGGCATTCCCCTTAAGCCAGAATACACCAAAGAAAACCTTGAACTTGTCAAGAAGGGTGTTTGCAACCTGCAGAAGCACATATCCAACGGATTGAAGCATGGTGTGCCTGTCATTGTCGCAATCAATAGGTTCAAGGAAGACACAGATGCAGAGTTGAACCTCATCAAGGAAATGAGCGAGTCCAGTGGTGCTTTCCGTGCTGTTATTTGTTCTCACTTTGCTACTGGTGGTCCCGGGGCCCTGCAACTTGCGGATGCCGTGATCGAAGCCTGCAATAAGCCCTCCTCTTTCAAATTGCTCTATCAATCAAGTTTGAGTCTTAGGGAGAAATTGAACGTTGTTGCCAAAGAAATGTTTGGAGCGGGAGAAGTGGTGTGCTCACCTCTAGTGGAGCAAAGACTGAAGGACTATGAAGCCCAAGGATATGGAAATCTGCCAATTTGTATGGCTAAAACATCTTTGTCACTCTCTGGGGATGCTAATGTGAAGGGAGCTCCCACTGGGTTCACACTTGCCATAAACAATGTTACTCTCAGTGCTGGTGCTGGATTTGTTGTGTTGTACTGTGGCCAGATTACTTTCCTGCCTGGGTTGAGCACTAGGCCAAGCTTCTTTGACATGAAATATGATACAGCTACTGGTGAAATCCATGGCCTGTTTTAATCTATCTATATTGTGTGTTATGTGCTTGCCCCTTATACTCATGCTGTTTACTTCCTGTTACATTTTTTCTATATTCCTTGTAACTAGTCACTTCTCTTTCACTTTGGAATTTTTATTCAATCAAAAGTCGTAGGATATTTCCATCTAATACATAAAATTATTTTTGTACACATATTTTCAATAAATATATTTTTTTAAAATAACTTTTAACTGAATTCTGAACTGTTCATTTCTACACTATTCCACAGTCCATTGCTGCATTCCACTTTTATTCTCATTTTGTTTGCTAACGGTTGCTCTCGAGGTTCAAAACAGCTGATATCCGTGCACTCATTAAGTAAGCCCTTAAAAGGCACTTTAGATGTCACGCTAAAAAAGCGAGGCCTTGTTGGTCTAGTTTGAAAGAGTCAGTTGAAGTGGGCTATTTCATTTAATGTCTTTCAACGTTTTGGGTCGAAAATTTAAAATGGCACAAATTGGAGTATGTTGGGCTAGCACTCCCTGATCATTCCTGATACTCTTTGGAGAACCATTTCAGCCATGAACAGGCTTTTTCCACCAGAAAACTGGAATGATTTGAGTATGCGCCGAACTGGTAGGCAACCCATCGTCCACGACCTCTTCGCCGCATCAGAGCGCAACTAGCGTCCCAGGAAAAGTCATTTTCACGCCAAATGAAAGGCGTCAAAGACCATTGGATACCGGGCATCTGTTCCTCAGTCGCATAGCAACGTTCCACTTGAATTTCAGACAAATCGGAGGTGGTCGACCATTTTTGTCGAAAAAAAGCTAAGCCTATACATCATGGTTTTTTCACGTTTTGGGCAAACAATTTAAAATGGCCCAAATTTGAGTATGTTGTGCTGGAGTACTCCCCCAAGACTCCGGACACTATTCCGAGGGTGATTTAGGCCCTAAGTCTTTTTCTGGCGAAAAACTGATATGATTAGAACATGCGCCGCGTAGGTAGGCAACCCATCGCCCACAGGCTTCTTCAACTCAACAGTGGCACGGGAAAACTCATTTTCACGCCAAATGGAATGCGTCAAAAACCATTGCGTACCGGGCATCTGTTCCTTAGACCCATAGCAACGTTCCACATGAATTTCAAACAAATCTGAGGTGGTCAACCATTTTCGTCGAAAAAAAGCTAAGGCACATCATGGCTTTTTCACGTTTTGGGCAAAAAATTTTAAACGGCCCATAGTAGGGTATGTTGTGCTTGAGCACTCCCATAAGACTCCCGATACTATTCCGCGGCCCATTTAGGCCCTAAAGAGTTAGTTTCCAGCAAAAAACTGGAGTTATTTGAGCAAGCGCCGGGTAGGTAGGCAACCCATCGTCCACAGCCTCTCCTGCACCAGAGCGTCATGGGAAAAGTAATTTTCTAACGAAATAGAATGTGTCAGAGCCCATTGGCATTGGGCACCGGGCATCTGTTTCTAAGGCCCATAGCAACGTTTCATATCCTGGCCTGGCAAATCTGAGGGGGTCGACCTTTTTTGTCAAAAAAAAAAGCTAAAGGCTAGCCTTGCATGCTCAAATATTTCGAAGGTTTCGCTAGAAAAAGACTGGTAAAAAAATCTGTTTTCCCCCTTTTCCTGTTGGCCTTTCGTTATTGTCGGCATGTTTAAGGCAGGATGGGAGATAAGTAGGAAATTTGGTATTTTGAAGGTAGAATTATTTTTATTAACTTATTTTAATTATTATTACATCACAGCCTAGATTAATTTAAACCAGTAGCACAGAAACTTTGGCTAACAAAAATAAAACTCAACGCAAGATTCAATTCACTAGTTGGTTTAAATTAGCAAACAAAAACAACAACATAACAGTAATTCAAGACGTCCACAGGACGTAAACAACTAAAATATATCTATACATCTTTCATATACTGTACACACATTTCATTTTGTATATACACAATGTAGATGCTACACATATTGATTTTGTACACTATGCACAAATATTCTATTTTTTATTTATTACAACTGTGTTGTGTATTTCCATAAAAACCTCATATTCTAATACATTTGCTGGACATATTGGCACATATCAAGGGGAGCATTTAAACTAGAAGCTTTAAAAAGGAGGGGCAGGGATGTTAGATGGAACTATACAAAGTTGCATTTTCCCTAATACGTAGTACATAATTTTATGAACTTAATTTCAGGTACTGATTATTTTTTCCAAACTACAGAACAACACTAGGAGCCAAAGCTAGAACAAATTAATTTAAAAATTTTACTTGGATATTCTGTATGATGTACTTATTGAATAACTGAGTAGGTGTGGCGGTGTGGCTGCCAAACAGGCCAGTAAAATTTGTCAAAGAAAAAACAATTATTAAAAGTTGGAATCGAGCCACAGAGGACTTGGAATACAACAACCGGTGACCCCTCCTCGAGCACAATGGATTCTAACATAGAACACGAACAAGAAGAGGAAAATCAAGTTGAGCCAAAAACAAAATTTGACACTGACCTCTGACTTGAAAATTATTTGGGCGCACACCACACCTCACTACACGGCACATGCTAGCGTGCAGGGCGAAGGGCGCGTCCGGAGCGTCCGACACGGCCATGCCGGCACGGCCATGCCGGCACGGCCCGAGGCCCGGTCCTGCAGCTTGACCGTTCGGACGCCGCCCCCCGCCGCCCCCCGCCGCCCCCCGCCACGCCACCACGACCTGGTCGTTGATTGCGTTCCTCGTTCCCCTCGAACACAACACGGTCGTGGTCCTGGCAGTGCAACTGCAGCAACTGCAGCAAGCCAATGGAATGGAAAGGGAATGCACATGCACAATGCACATGCACAAGGGCCGTCTGTCCTTGTCGAGTCCTGGGCCGGGCCACTGCCGGGCCACTGCCAGGCCACTGCCAGGCCACTGCCAGGACTGCCAAGCCCTCCCCTTAATTGAAGGGAAAGGCAAAGCCCTTGGCGTCCAGTCCCTTCGGATGCTTCTGCTTTTTGTTCCTCCCTCCCTCCCTCTCTTTCTTTGCCAACAACAACAACAATAACAACAACAAGCGAGTGAGAGGACCCCCTCGTTTACATATCACAAATATTCCCGGTCGAGTCCACGCCGCGGCACGGCGGGGCACTGCACTGCACGGCACGGCACGACGGCGCAGCGCGGTCGCACGGTGTGTCTGCCGGGCTGGCTCGGCCTGGCAAGGCGCAAGGCGCTGCCCCGTCACGACGCGCCCGGGGCGATGCGATGCGGCCGTCACGTCCAGGACGTCCACGACATTGTCTCAGTCTCAGACGTCCGCCCGGTCGGGCCGGTCGGGCTGCTGCTCCGCGGCCTCGGCTCCAGCTGGGGCTGCGGCCGGCGGCGTCGACGGCGGCGATCCTCCGCGCGACGTCGGCGCCACGGTCGCGGCGTCGCGGCGCTGCTGCTTGAGGCGCCTGGCCGTCGCCGCCGCCTTGCCGGGCCTGGGGCTGCTCCTGGGGCTGCCCCTCGCCGCCGCCTTGCCGGGCCGCGGGGCGGAGCGTCAGACGTAGTCGGACGGCACGGAGCTGTCGGCCGGCACCAGCTGCTGCGGCGCCATCTGAATGTGCTGCAGCTGCTGGAACTGCCGCTGCAGGTGCTGGTGCGCGAGCTGGCGGCGTCGCGCTGCCTCGGCCGCCGCGGCCGCGGCCTCCCAGTGCGGGTTCACCTGCAGGCTGAGGCAGGGCATGGCCGACGGCATGGCGGGCACGGCCATCATGGGGTTGCCCACGCCGACGGCCTCGTAGGTGCGGTCGGGCGCGGAGAGGTCCGAGTAGTACGCCGAGGAGGGCGCGGAGGGCGTGTCGGGGCCGGGCTGGCCCTGCGGCACCAGGCCCTGCCCGCAGTGGCACGGCGGCGTCAGGTTGGCGAGCGGCGCCGCGTTCTGGTACTGGTAGGCGCCGCGCACGCTGGGCCGGTCCAGCTCGGCGTACAGCGCCTCATCGCTGGCCCCGGACACCCCCGAGTACGCCAGCTCCTCCAGCGTGTAGTGGTTCTCGGGGGCGGGGCCCTTGGGGCCCTTGCCCGCCCCCTTGGGCGCCTCGCGCCGCCGCCACGGCCACCCCGTCAGGCCGTGCGACGACCGCCCCCGCCACAGCGCCAGCAGAGGTCCAGACACGTCCTGGGGCGCCGCGCCCCCCACACCGCCCACCGTCTCCTTGTCCTCGCCGACAACCACGCCGCCCCCGGCAAGCGGGCTGGTCGGCGCGGACACACGGCCCGCGTGCGCGCGGCCCACGCACAGCGTGCACAGTCCTGGAACAGAGAGCCGCGTTAGCACGCCGTCGACCACCACAACACCACCAGTCACTCAGAGAAGTACGCTTACCTCCAGAACCAAACCCCGACGACAGCCGCGACCGGCAGTGCAGCACGGTGACCATGACGGCCGCGCCGATGGCCGCCGACAGGAGGGACACCACGGCCAGCGTCAAGACCCAGCCCAGCTCGGCCGCCGTCTCTGCTGCAACAAAACGAAGGCAAGCATGAGCGACCGCACATTGACACTGACACTCTCCGACAGGCCGCCTCCGTCTCTCTCATCGGCCGGCAAAGCGGAAAAGGGGAAACGGTCGCGGCGCCGGGACTCGAACCCGCGACGCCGCCATGCCGAGCCGCCTTGTGCACACAGATTGCACAAGGCAGTTCAATTGTTCACCCGGGCAGCGAGCGAGCGGATTCCGAAGAGCGTCGCTGCGTCTCTCTCGCACGCGCAGGGCGTTGGCGTGGGCGCGAGAGAGACGGAGCGCGGAGCGACGAAAGCACAGCACGGCTACCGTAATGAGTGGTCTGCCTTCGGCCTTCGCGCGCCGATCCACTCCGCGCTAAACTTCTTCCCGTTTTTCTCCATCCTCGCCTTCTTTTTTGCGGGCCATAACCCGTACCGCCCTTCCCGGCCCTTTGGCGAGCTCTCCCGCGGCGCGGCGGCGCGGCGCGGCCGACGGCCTGCAGGGCCGCAGAGAGGTGCCGCCGCCACGCCGCCAGCAAACTGATTCCGAGAGTCGTTTTCGTCGCTCTGCCTCTCTCGCACTCACAGGGCGTCCCGCACAGGTGCGAGAGAGGCAGAGCGACGAAAACGACTCTCGGAATCAGTCTGCAGGTCTGCAGGGCCGCCGCCTCGACACCTTTATGGCCACCTCGGAGTGCCTCGGCACCTCGGCGAAGAGGAGGCAGCGAGGCAGCGAGGCAGCGAGGCAGCGTCACGCCGACCTTTCCCCGCCGGCCGATCCGCCGGGCCCTACACCCTAAACCGTCCCTTCCCGCGCACTTTTTTGCCCATTTTGCGGGCGCGTCGCCGCTGGACTAAAAAATAGAAGGCAGCGACGCCCAACGTTGTCGCACCTGGCCGCGCTCGCTAGAATAACCAACAACAACAACAACAACAACAACAACAACAACAACAACAACCCCATCATCTTAATGAAGCCGGCCGATTTTATTGGGTGCCAATGGTTTTATGGGGCGCGCATGGCGGCGCGCGGCGGCGCATCGCGGTGAAGGGGAAGGGGCTCGGTCGTGCCTTACGGCCTTCACGACCAGGTAGGTGTCTCTGCGCCGCCACAGGGCCGCCACCCTGGCAGTGTATACGGCAGCGGCGTCGCTCCGTCTCTCTCGCACCGCGACGGAGCGCGTGGAGCGGCCCTCGAGAGTGAGAGAGACGGCTGGGCTGCCGCCTTGGCTGCCGCCGCCCAGGTGAGTGCCGGCATCACGGCCCTGCGCTGCTCCGCGCTGCCCCGCGCCAACCGCAATAAAACGCCATCCGGTGCATGCGCCCTTCCCTTCCCTCCCCTTCCCCCTCCCCTTCCCCCTGCACCTCGGCGTCAAGGGACACGCCGGTGTCTGTAATGAAGAGGGTGTGCTGGCCGTGCAGCTGCAAAAAAGGATGAGCGGCGGCGGCAACGCGATGCTGGACGACGGGGACGAGGAAGAGGACGGCGATGACGAGGACGAGGGGCATAGCGCTGCCGCCAGCCTCGCGCGTTGCAGTCTCCACAGCGCGCGGCGTCACGTCGGCGTCCACGAACCCACAGTGGATTTGCCAGAAGACCGGCGCAGGGGGCCGAAACTCCAGACGCGTTTTTGAGCTCCAGAGTCGCTAAATGGGACTCGAACCAAACGTGTGACCCCACCAATGGATGGCTCTCCGAACAAGGAATCCATTGGTGGGGTCACACGTTCGGTTCCAGTCCCTCCTAGCGACCCCAGAGCTCAAAACGCGTCTAGAGTTTTGGCCACCTCCACCGGTCTTCTGACGAATCCACCGCGCGGTCTGGCCTGAACGCTTTCAGGGAAAATGTGCCGGGAGTCGCACCTCGTCCGGGGGCTCGTGATTCATCGCGATCGGCGGCACCAACCTGACGTCGTCGCTCCGTCTCTCTCGCACTCACGGGCCGGGCAGCCGGGCCATGTGGGTGCGAGAGAGACGGAGCGACGACACGCCGTTGCGGAATCAGTCTGCTGGCGGCAACACGCCGTATCAGTTGACACGGTGTACGTACGCACCGGTCGCGGCAGCGCGGCATCGCGGCGCCGGGACCCTCCGCGGACCGGACCGGGCCGGCCACTGTAAATCAAGCCCCTCTCTCTGTCTCTCTCTCCGCCTCAGTTTCTCGCAAAACGGATGGGACGACGACGACGACGACGGACGCGTCGCGACGAGGCCCGGCTCGGCTCGGTCGCGGCGTCGCGCTCGGCTCGAACTCACTCCGAGGCTCCAACGGCGAACGGCCGCGGAATGCTTTGGGCCCTGCCACGGCCCTGCCACGGCCCTGCCATGCAGCAAGCTGCAGCACCGCGTCGCCGCCGCCACCATCCGCCGTCTGGGCGGTCCTGGCGGCAACGGCGCACGCGTCCACCGACCCCACGTTCCAGGGTTCAAGTCTCAGCGCCGCCGGAAGGACTTATTTTTTTCCGGCCTCCTGAGTGAGTGAGCACTCGCCCCGGGGTGCCTCCGGGAGGGTGCCAAAACGGGACGCCCTGCCCGCGCCGCGCTAATGCGATGATGGCGATGATGGCCCGCTGGGTGGCCGGGGAGGCCGTCAGGAAGGCCGCCAGGAAGGCCGGGCGCCGCAGCGCTGCCGCTGGGCTGCTGCTGCGTGCGCGGGGTGCCGAGCGGGGTGCAGCAGGGCGGCCAGGGCGTCGAGGCCTCGGCCGAGGCGCGGGCCGTCGTCCTGGGTGGTCCTCCTCGGTGCAGCGCTCTGCGCCGTCCCACTGCACTGCCGTGCCGTCCGAGGCTCCGGAGTGGAGCGGAGAGGGCCGGAGCGCCTCCCCGCCAGGCAGCCCGCGCGCCGCCCAGCTGCCGCCGCGCCACCACCGCCACGGCCAGGTGCTTCCCTGACCTGCACTCCTCCGCGGGCCCGCGTACGCACCCGCACACCACGCTGTGTGTGTGTGACGGCCGCGGGTCGCGACGTGACGAAGACACGCGACGCGGCGCCGTCACGCCGCCGCCACCTGTCGCCAGACCGTCACCACCGCAGGCCTCGCCGTCACTGTAGGGGGTCAACACCTGTCTCGGCCTCGCCTCGCCCACCATCGCGTGCGTCTATTCGCGCGGCACGCTTTTTACCAGTGGGGCGTTTGGAATAAGGACACGCACTCAGTGAACATACGCAACACACACACACACTGCAGCTGCAGCAGCCACCTAGCCGGTGTCCGGCGAAGGACCTCAACGCCTCGCGCAGCAGGACTGCATCGTGTTATGAAACGGCTCTCGTCATGAGCTCGGGATAAAACACACACACACACACACACATACACACACACACACACGACAAGAAGCATCCTGGACCGGACCGCTGCATCCAGCGGCGCGCGGCAGCGAAGCCGCAGCGGACGGAGCGGCGGTGGCGGCGGGCCGCACGAAAAACTGGTTTGTTGTTATACTTTTGGTTGCCCCTCCCCCCTCCCCCCCAAAGATAAGGACTGCGCTCTAATGAAGATGCTCTCCGGGGTACCCCCGAGGAGGGGCCCCTGGAGCAGGGGTCACCTGATACCTAGACGGCGGAGGCATCACCACCACACTGGGGTCCACAGCCTCGCTCAACCCCAACCTGCCGTGGTCCCCGACTCGTCGCTCGCTCGCCACACGATCATGTGATGACATCGGGGCCGCGTAGACTCCAGTGTAGACGGCCCGTGTCAGACTCCGCCGTGATTCACCCCGAGAGTCGTTCTCGTCGCTCTGTCTCTCTCGCACCTAGACGGAGCGCCCCGTGAGTGCGAGAGAGACGGAGCGACGAAGGCGACTCTCGGAATCGGCCTGGCCGGTGATTAATCGTCATGGTTCTACAGCGGACGACGACAACGATGACGACGGTGGCGCCCTCCTCCCCTTGGGACCCCTGGGACCCCCTCAACCCCAACCCCCTGGAGTCGTGGGACCCCAGCGCGGCACGGCTCGCCACGGCTTGCACTGTCATTTCGTTGATCGCGTCATCGGCCGCCGCGGCCGGGTTATCACGATGACCCGCCCTTTTTATTCGAGGGACCCCTGATCGTTTGATATATACGACATGACCCCCACGGTACACTGTCACGAATACGCACCAGGCAAAACCGCCTTTACTCCACGTTTCTTGTTATTGTCGTTGTTGTTTCTACAGTCTTTGAGCTCATAGTCCAAGATTCTAAGTTTTTGACACGTCCACGACGTATTCATGTCCAGGGCCTGTTGAGGTCCTCGGGCAGGGTCGACATGAGCCCCATCCCGTTTGAGCCCCGACGACCTGAGCCCCGACCAGAGCCCCGTTTGAGCCCGACTTGAGCCCCGACTTGAGCCCCGACTCGAGCCCCGACTGAGCCCCGATGGCCAGAGCCCCGACCTGAGCCCGGTTTGAGCCCCGACCTGAGCCCCACTTAAGCCCCACGCCAAAAAACTTCCATTTTTGAACTTTTTTAGTGAAGATTTTGCGTCATATTGCAACTTTTTGACGGGGGCTCAAATGGGCTCAAACGGGGCTCAGGTCGGGGCTCAACCGGGCTCGTCGGGCTCTGGGCCATCGGCTCAGCGGGGCTCGAGTCGGGGCTCAGTCGGCTCAAACGGGGCTCAGATCGGGGCTCAGGTCGTCGGGGCTCAATCGGGATGGGGCTCATGTCGACCCTGCCGGTCCTCGAAAACGACAAAGGCCTCTCTGTGTCCCTCACCTTGCGTGACCTGCATGGAGCTGGCGCCGTCCTGGTAGGCCCACGAGCACATCTCGCAGGAGGTGAGGCTGTCGGCGGAGGCGAGCTCGTCCAGGAAGGAGGGCCGCGGCGGCGGCGGCAGGAAGCCCTGCCAGCTGGCCAGGTTGGCGAAGGACTCCACCGAGTCCTCCTCCATGACGCCCGCCCAGTACTCGTCGTCCTGCGCCGTCCGCGATACCTGCAAACAACAAAAACAACTTTAGACATGCATCGCAACAACAACAACAACAAGTCTCCCTCCTCCGCCCGCACGGCACGCGGGTCGCACGGGGCCGTTGTCGTAAAAAGTCCTCTAAATATTCCACCGAGATATCCTTAAGGACTTTAGGGCCCCTCAGGATGTACTCGCAAAGCTTCATAAACGCGAGGGGGGGGGGAGCGGGGAAGGTCAGGGATGATATGATTTAGGTGCAAAGAGCTTTCCGAAAGGGCCCCCGCACTGGTGAAGGGCGCAGAGGGACAAGGGCCTGGCCAGGGCAGAGCCGGCAGAGCCAGGCACGCACGCGGGCAGCGAGCGCACTGCGAGGACTGCGACAAGGTGGACAATGCTAGGAGGAAGGGCGCGGTACGAAAAGCGAGAAACAAAAACACCGCACACACACACACACACACACACACAGCAAGAGTTATGGGCCGTTGCTTGTCGCGGGGGTCATCCACATAAAGTGGTTATATGCAAGGCGCGACGCGGCGCGGGTCACTCTCGCAGCGCCCGCCCTGTCAGGTGCAAAACAACAACAGCAAAAATATTTTCGAGGAGAAGCAAAAGGCGGTCGCTGCACTAAAAGTTATTACTACTGCCCTCTCCCTCCCAACATCCTGCCATCCTCCTGCCCGCCGCCGCTGCTGCACCTCTTTGGCGAAATGGAACGACTTCCTCGAAAAGAGCGGCAAGGCGATGCGCGCTTTTTGAGGCGGCGGCGGGGGCGGCGGGGGCGGCAAAGGGGGGGAAATGAGGGGGGGAGGCGTGGCTCCGAGGGGCCCGTACAGAAAAATTCAGTACGCTTTTGGGTCGTTTTCGGGACGCTTTTAGGTCGCTCCCCTGTCGACTAGGTCGCTTTTGGTGCGCGCGCAGTGAGACTAGTACGCTTTTGGTCATCGAAACAAGGAGGACTGGTTCGCGAAGGGTGCGCTTTGCCGGGACTGGGGCGTGAATAGGACGCGTCGTTGGCCCGTCGGAGGCGTACTAGGTCGCTAAAGGTTCGCGTGCGAAGGGACTAGGTCGCTTTTGGTCACCGGCAGAGCGGACTAGTTCGCTCGGAGTACGCGAAACGCGGCCTCATCACGCCCCAGTCCGCCCTGGACGGGTACTATTAGCGTACTGGTGCGCTCTGCCGGTGACCAAAAGCGACCCAGTCCTCACGAACGCGAACCTTTAGCGACCCAGTGCGCCTCCGATGGGCCACACGCACTGCCGTCGTCTTAGAGGCCGCACATTCTTCTTGCCCTCCGGTACCCTGTGCGAAGAGTTTGCCAAGGGGCATATTGGGGCCCCTTTGAACTACGTAGCCTATGTCTCTACCGTAGTTTAAAATCATGGTAAAAGTAATCCGACAGTTTTAAATGCTGCCTGATAACAATCTGCCAGTAAGATACTAATGCCACGTCGCCAATCTAGTCACTAAATAGATTCAGCTTTGGTAACAAAACAATGAAACAGTGCCGATATGCAATTTTCAGCTCGTGTAGTTTTCTTCGGGTCAAACCTTTACCTCGGGGTCAAATTAAAACAATTTTCCCGTAGCACTCCTGTGCGCTTGTGACGAAGTATCTAATCATGATATCCGCGTCGAAAACCGCATCTCTCTATCTTTATTCTGGCGCCCTCCAGAGAGCGAAGACTGAGTGCGAGCGGAGCGCTGGGCGCCGAGCCGCGCTGAGCCAGTGAAGAGGCTCGCCTGCGGGCCCAGTCCTCGTGTTTCAGGTTAGCGCAGTGGGCAGCGACGTCGACACCGAGGATCCAGCCAGGGGTTCGACTACCATCAGCACCGACGCCCTCAAAAGAAAATGCCAGCCCCTCCCCCAGTGTCGGCCCTCTCTTTTGACTCTCGGAATCGGACGGGGACTAAAAGCGTACTAGTCCCCCCGTCACCGAAAGCGAACTAAAAGCGTACCGGTCCGGCGCGGACTAGGACGCTTTGAGGGCGGTTTTTGGTACATTTGGGCCAGGAAGCGGACTAGTCCCCTCGTCGGAGGGGACTAAAAGCGACCTAGTCCACGCGTACCAAAAGCGTTCTGTTTGGGGACTAAAAGCGTACTGTATTTTTCTGTAAGGGGGGCGGGGGCGGGGGCGGGAGCGTGGGGTCGATCGATCTACGCGGTGATTCGATCCTTTTTCTTCTGTTCCTCAAAAAAAGTTGTTTTTCTTTTGTTCACGGGGAGGCATTAATTATTATTCCACCAAAAGGGGGCCCGTGTTTTACCTTTTCCCGCCCCAACTCTTCAAGAAAAAGAAACTCTTGGTGACCCGCTTTGCGGAGGTATCAAAACTTAAAACGGCAACAAGAACGTCAACGAGAGTCAGCAGCCGTGACGCGCGTGTCCAGCGCGCGCGACCCGCAATGAGCACGCTTGGAGCACGCGCGCCGCGCCTAGATTCGAGATTCCGGGTTCGAGATTCTCGATGGCGTATCGTTAGCACGACCCGCGCACGGGCCGGCCGGCCAGCCAGTGGGCCAGCCAGGCCGCACGTACGAGCCGGAGTGCATTGTGGGTCAGATGGCGGCAGCCAGATGCCGGGCGGGGCTAGACCAGCCTAGCCTGGACGGGACACTGTAGGCCGCGGACGCGCGACTGCAAGCACGCGCGCACTGCTACCGCGCTAACAGTGGCGCGGCCGGCGGCGCCGGGATTCGAACCTCCGCCAGCCTGTTTACGCTTTTACCGGCCAGGGCCAGGACAAGGAAGTCGAACGTCGGAGATACGACTCTTGAAAAAGGGCGGCGATCAAACCCCGTGTACCGCCGCCCTGCTGCAGTGCTGGACCCGACAGGTTCTCTCTCCCTCTCCCCAAACACATTAAACGGCGCGACACGTCCTGGTTGTCTCTGTCGGAAGCCACACCCGGCCTTATAACGACCCAATCCGGGCCCGGGCTCGGTGGTTCAGTTCGGCCGTGGCGCGCCGAGACCACGGCGAGGCGCGTTGGCCAGGGGGTTAACAAAGGCGACCGCTTCATCAAGACGCCCCAGCGGCCGGACACGAGAACACACTCCACTCCACGGTAGCCGCGTGGCTCGGCCGCATACCGCGCTGGTCGCGCACCCCTACGACGCCGAGCCCTCCGACACAGTGCCCCCGCCTGCCCCAGACGGGCCGATTTGTCTCCGACCTGCCCTATGCACTCTATAATTCTCCACGGCGGGGAGCGGCGCGCTCTATCGCCCGCGCTCCCACACTGGGCGGACCAGAGTGTCGCTGCTGCGTCTCTCTCGCACTCGTGGGCGGCCGTAGGGCACCGTAGGGGTGCGAGAGAGACGGAGCGACGGAGCGGGATGCTGCCGCATACGATAGCGCGTCGTGTGTGATAGGCCCCGCTCAGAGCCCAGGGCTGCTCCATGAAGACATCAACAACGATGCGAGGCGAGCGCTGCTGGTGCGTCTGCCTCGCTTCTGCCCTGACGAGAGAGACGCGAGCGCAACGCACGTCCGACGGACCGAGACTGAGAAGGCCCTGGGCGAGGCGCGCGACCGATCGCGAACGAGCGCTCCTCACGCACACAGACGCACAGACACACACACACATACACTCACACACAGAGCGTTTCTGACGCCGCCCCGCCTCTTAATTAAGACGAAGCAGAGGCAAGGCAAGCGGGACGGAAGACGCGCTGGGCCCCGCGGGGGCAAGGGAGAGGGAGAGAGAGGCATCGGACGCAAAGGTTGTCGCGCAGAGCGCCCCGCGTGTGTGCTTGTGTTTTACTACGCTGCCGACGGGTTTGATTGTAAAATAAAAAAGGAGGGATATAACGCGGGGGAGCGAGAGAGACAGAGAGAGGGCCCGTGGACCGATCATTAGGAGGGGCCAGAGCACGCTCGGTGCAGAGAGCAATGCAGGGCCGGCCAGTCGCTCTGTCTCTGTCGCACTCACGGGGCGCCCCGCGGGGCCCGCAGGGGTGCGAGAGAGACAGAGCGACTGGCTGGACCAGAGGGGCGCGCACACTGACAACCTACAAATCACGCAGCCCTTGGAGGGCCGAGGCCCTCTGAGGCTGCCTAAATCCCTGCGGCCGTGCAGCACCGACGTCGTCACCCACACTGCCTCGCCGCTGACCGCGTCCAATGAGAACGTCAAAAGAATTTTGAAAGGAATATACACACCTGGGCCCCCGCGGCCCCGCCACAGGCCGCCACAGGCCCGACAGGGCAGGGCCAGGGCCAGGGCCGGCCTGGTTCGAGCCCCCGGGCCTATAGGCCCCTTATGGGCCTGGCTCTCGTCCTGGCTGCCTGCGGTTTGGTGAGGCGCAGGCCGAGAGACAGGTGGAACGGTGGAACAGCCATTACCATGCCGTTGCCCTCCAGTCAGTAAAGTCCTCGGGGACTCAGGACACTCCGACTGTGTCGACTCACTCTCCCAATCCACTCCAATACGAAAATTAACAAAGCAAGAACAAAACGCGCTGGCACCACCAACCCAACCGGGCAATCCGTCCGGGGCGCGGGGAATTTAAACCCAATTTGTTCGAAAGGAAACAAGAAGAACAAAAGGCAGGCACCGCACCATCAGTCAGGAGGCGCAGGAGGGCGAGCGAGGCAGCCAGAGGCACACTGAATAAGATGATTGGTGGGCGGAGAGAGAGTGGAGGGAGAGAGAGGGAGAGAGGGCGAGAGAGGGAGAGAGAGGGAGAGAGAGGGAGAGAGAGGGAGAGAGAGGGAGAGAGAGGGAGAGAGAGGGAGAGAGGGCGCACGCAGGGCGGTACACTGACCACGGAAGTGGATTTTGGACACGCATGGATGGCGAGCGACGACGGCCACGTCACAACGGACGCACAGTATAGCAAACAAGAACAACAACAACTTCCGTCGCACCACAGTTACTCTTAGCGCCCGGCTGAAAAGGGAGACATTACGAGAACCGCACGCGAAAGGTACTGTGAAGGCAAAGACAGAGAGCGATGCTCATGAGAGACTTACGCCGCCGCGATTGGGCCGCCCAAAATTATGGCCAGGCGAGGAAGA